CACCCGCTTGATCGGGTTTACAGAATTGTGCTCCTTTTAATTTAAGTGGGTGTGAATGTGCTGTAGTATATCCTGGGCTGGTCTTTGTTTTGCTACATTGACGTACATGCTTGCTGGTCTTCTGAAAAGAGTCAATGATAGGATAATGGCAATGAAACTCTCTCTCTCTCTCTCTCTCTCTCTCTCTTATCTGGAAGAAAACACCTCACCATCATCAGCTGATAGGCTCTAACACATGACAAACCCAGATGAAATAAAGACCAAGATCTACAATGATCTTCACTCTGTGACACTGGCGTTTCAAGGCAGTACAACCTTAGAATTCTTGGTAACTTCAATGCTTTAGCAGGCCGCGGCCACATCGCGTGGGATGGGTTCTGGGGAGGTATGTGGTGGGCCATTACAACAGTAATGGATTGATTTCTTATGTCCCAGACATGGAATGTGCCACGCATTAATTGCTGATTACTAATACAATATTTGGCCTTCCAAAAAGTAATTGGACGTCTTGTATGCACCCTCGTTAAAAACACTGCACCTCATCGTCTATCAGGAGGAAGGACACTCGAGCCGTGCGTTATACCAAGGCTATGTGTGGTGCGGGCTGCGAGACAGATCATCTTCTTATTATCACCAAGCTCAACATTCACTTACAACTCAAAAGACGTCCACAGGGGAAGAAGACACCTCCCTCCCTTAAACGTCTGAACACAAAGTTGAGGAGGCCCATCATAAAGCAATATTTTTTGGATGCTCTGGAAGAACGTAAGGAGTCGTAATTTTTGAAATGTGACAACGTCGAAGCCAACAGAGCTGTGCATCTCCTCTATGGAGTTTTTGAGACCAAGCTCAAAAAAACACAAAAAACAGGAGGAGTGGTTCAATGAAAACTATGTCGCAATCAAACAGCTGCTGGAGGAAGAAATACCGCCTTCATCACGCTTACCTTAACAACCCGAGGTCAGACCCAATGATAGATGCACGACACAACATAAGAAGAACGGTGCAGCGAAAACTACTTCAAATACAGGATTAATGGTTGAGCGACAATCTGACGCGATCCAGAGCTATGCGGACAGACATAACCTGAAACCTTTCTACTTGGCTCTTAAAGCAGTTGACGGGCCCACTTCATCAGGATCAAACCCATGTTTCAGTGCTGATGAGTTGACGGGCCCACTTCAACAGGATCAAACCCATGTTTCAGTGCTGATGAGTTGACGGGCCCACTTCATCAGGATCAAACCCATGTTTCAGTGCTGATGAGTTGACGGGCCCACTTCATCAGGATCAAACCCATGTTTCAGTGCTGATGAGTTGACGGGCCCACTTCATCAGGATAAAACCCATGTTTCAGTGCTGATGAGTTGACGGGCCCACTTCATCAGGATCAAACCCATGTTTCAGTGCTGATGAGAAATCTTTAATCACCGAGAAGGCAACAACAAAAAATTATCGAACGCTGAGCTGAACATTTTGACAAAGTCATAAATCGACCTTCATCCATCAATGACAAAGTCATAAATCGACCTTCATCCATCAATGACAAAGTCATAAATCGACCTTCATCCATCAATGACAAAGTCATAAATCGACCTTCATCCATCAATGACAAAGTCATAAATCGACCTTCATCCATCAATGACAAAGTCATAAATCGACCTTCATCCATCAATGACAAAGTCATAAATCGACCTTCATCCATCAATGACAAAGTCATAAATCGACCTTCATCCATCAATGACAAAGTCATAAATCGACCTTCATCCATCAATGACAAAGTCATAAATCGACCTTCATCCATCAATGACAAAGTCATAAATCGACCTTCATCCATCAATGATGAAGCCATAAATCGTCTCCCTGTAGATCTGACCAAGGCTTTCGGCACTGTTAGTAGAGACGTAACAAGACCCATGGTGGGGGTTAGGACGCAGATCGCAGAGTTTAGTGACGCAGATGCGCACCGAGCACTGCCCCTTGCACACATATTTCTGGCGGCTGGATAACAACAGAGATCCTACCTGCCGGCATTGCAGCCTGGCCCCGGAGACCCTAGAGCATCTGTTGACCGAATGTCCCTCACTAGATCTCCCGGGGGAAGCCAGGTCGGTTGGAGGCTCCTTTGTGAGGGAAATGTTGTATGGCTCAGCTCATCAGATGGAGTTGATAGCCAATTTACTAGCCGGGGTCATAAGAGAGTAATCTCAGACCCACACCAGAATATGTGTCTTAGTTAGTAGAGACGTAAAATATATCCATCCCAACCCTTTTATAGAAAGTCCGGTCCGGTTGCTGTGCGAGCAGAACCCTGGCCGGCCAGGTGCTCCTTCTCTGATGCCGCCGCACTCGCATAGTCAATCGAGTGGAAGGGTGGGTGTGGCTGTCTCAGGGGCGGAATGTCCCCGTCGTGCCGCTTTGCAGCCCGACTGGAATAAAGAGCACTGGGCGAGTGGTTGAAGGCCGTTTGGGTCGACGGGGTAGGCCGCTGGGGAAGACTTTATGAGCTCTGGCTCGATAGTTTGCCGTTTTTCTTAAATAAGTAAGTTATTTAGTAGAGAGTGCCTTATGAAGATCATGGCCAGATATGGATGCCCCAGAAAAATTATTTCAATGTTACGGTAAGAAGGGAATGTGATTAATTGGTTAATAAGTTAATACTCATAATTTTAGTTGGTTATTATTCTGTATGTAAGTAATGAACAAACAAAAATAATTCCAAAAGTAAATTGAATTAAGATATATTCAATTTTATACCCAGCCCCCCCCCCCCCCCCCCCTTTCTTCCCCCGCCCCCCCCCCCCCCCCACCAATTTTGCCGCCCGCCAGAAGTGGGGCTCGGTTGGTCGCCCCTTCACATCCACCGCTCAAATGGTAAAGTTCACCCCGAAACCTTTGCCCTTGGAAGATTAAGGCTGAGGAAATCTGGGGATTTCTGAAAAATCTAAGTGGCAGCAATGAGTTATGTTGCCATTTACCAGGAAATAACCTATCCAGTATTAGAAAGCCGTAGGCCGTAGGAAAATCTGTTGCAAGTGATAGTACTTGCTAGCTTGAAATGTTTCAATTTCAACAACATTCAGGTATATATTCATTACATAATAACTTTTAACCTTGTAAAATTTAACAATAGTTATCTCAAAGCCCTAAGTATTAGTTCATCCTAGATCTAACCCCTAACCCTACTAAAACTAATGACAAATAATAACAAATAGGCTACTCGTAGCTTGTAATACCTAACACTAATGTTTACACATGTTGTCACCCCCACCCACCCATCCGTAACAATAACACACCAGCCCCCAGTCCTTCAAATTTACTGGCCTTTGTCACACTTTGGGTAATTCTTAACCAAATCATACAGTATACAGTCCTAAGGCAACAAAAGCATAAGAAGAAAACATAGAATTGACAGATGACAATGACTTCGTGGGTCGTCAAAATCAAGATTCTTCAATTTATTACTCTCAATTTACAAAGTCACTGATGCGTTTTTGGTCCTAAGAAATATTACCTGCTGGTAAACAGACAAAATAAAAAATGATGGCTAATTTTATTGGCTGAGTGGCTGCCTCAAAGGGCATTAATTGCACGCAGAGAAAATTTGGATATTTTAGGCACTGAATTGTTAGACAAGGCAAGGATGGTTTCAGCCAGTTCATAATCATTATGGTATTTATGGGAATGATAAATTAATTAATTGCTATTTTCTGTTACTGCTGGTCTTTGGCTTATCAATCACAATGTGAAGAAGAAAAAGAGCTAACAATAAATTAAGTAAAAATAATATTTAGACCATATCATTTCTGAAATTTAAATAGTTCTGCAATGTAAAATTGACCCTAGTCACAGATTCAAATCATTACAAAAAGAAAATATGTTAAAGAAGTTTTTTTTTAATCTAATAAATTTGTTATACCCAGCAGATTTATATAGCCTATGTTACGGCCAATTTTAAGTATTCAAAAAGGTCTATTTTTATTTTTTTTTCTTCGAGGGAAGGGATGATGACAACATTTGACACAATTTATTGGAGGGAGGGGTGTGTGTGTGTCCTTGAAAGTTTGATAGTTGTTGCCAAGGGGGAGGAGAGGGTCAATAAGATTGTTGACATAATTAATAGGCACCCCCTAAGCTGTGCCCTCTTGTTGTCTTGCAGAGTAGGTGTCTCTTGTCATTTTGGTTGAATTTTTTTTATATTCCATCTCCCCATCATCACAAATCATTACGCCTTACAATTAATGCATTTTTTCACACAAATGTGTGATCTCCCTCCAACCTTGATGGGTGACATAATTTTTGGATGGCCCCTAATTCACACATTTTACTGTAACTTCATTTGTAAGTCTCTTTACATGAAACCTTATCTGCAAATTTCTAATTCAGTAATCTGGATAGGTATATATTATATTTATATTAACTAAATTTTTTCCAGTATACATCTATGCATTTCAAATCTAAATTAGAGGTCGTAAGTGTTTTTGTTTTTTAAAACACTCTTCATGTCTGTGCATTATTGCAGATACTATTTTGTTTTCTTCAATGTTTGTCTACCACCAACAGTGAAGCAATCAAATTATGCTTCAAAATGTTGTATAATATTTAACTTAAATATATCCCCGACCCTTGTATTGTCTACAGTTTCATCACATCCCTTATATTTAACCTGAATGCTATGTTACTCCTGTACTTTAGGAGTAGGAATCCATATTTTTAACTTTCACTATATTTTTGTGCAATGCATAAGATCAAATTCGCAATGGCAACTGGAGATGCAGCCTATTATTTAGATAATTTGTTTATAATAATCATTTCTTTACTTGTCTTTAATTTCCTTATGTAATATTTTAAAAAGAAATGTTTAAGGTTATTTAAGTTATGAGTAGGGATATCGATGACGAATTTTAAATTTGAAACTATGCTTATTTTAATTATCCATATTCTTCTTTTTCTTAGATAAAAGAAACTAATCAATTCGTTTCACACAGACTATATTTATGGTGTCAAAGTTATTAAAATACTAAAGCATGATGCAGCTATCAAATGTTCCGAAACTGCTACATGATAAAGGTATGAAATTACCATAATGTGTTGGCCTATTAGTTAGTTACATTTGCTTCAGCAACTTGTGTCAGGTCCGTTTGTGATTGTTTAATAATACTTATTGACTGATTGAAATTAATGAATATTTTTTGTACATTTGGAAGTCATGTTATTATACAATGAAATGGTACTTTTAAAATCAGCTAGGAATGTAGGTTATTTTTCAGAGATAAGAAGGAAACAATATCCAACACTAATAGTCTGTCAGCATGCATAATAAATTTTTTTAAAATAATTTTAAAGAAGGATTTTTTTGGTCCAGTAACCTGCTTTTTATTTTTTCAAACAGTAAGCCATAATGGTCAATATAAAGCAATGAGCTTCAATTGTGATGGTGCTCTCAATTCTCTGGCCGTCAACAAAGACCGCACTCAAGTGGTTGTTGCTGGTCGTTCAGGTACGTAAGTAAAAGCTATACTTTTTATTGTTTTAAGTTTCATCTGTCAGCTTATTTAAATATTTGCACTTTTGTAAAAAAAAAATGTAATTTACATGATTATGTATTGATGAAATTTTTACTTGCCTGCTCAATTTTTTTAACATGCTTATCAAAATTTGCTGTTTTAAAAATTATACATTACACTCCAGGCGTTTCATGGGCATGCATAAATGACATCACATGTTTAAGGGATGTGGGGGGGAGTGGCATGTCACAAATATTTTATGATGTGTGATGAGGATGTCTAATTTTTGTTACAATTTTGCGATGAAGGGGATGAAAAAATCAGTTTAATAAGCATGACGTCTTTTATGGGTGGTCCTTTTTTTTTCTCAAACAATCAATGGTAAATTATTTTATTACTATTTTCACATAATCTTCTGTATTTTCAGTTTTTAAAATCTTAAATATTAAAGAAGATTGCTTCATTGAAAACACAAACCTTCGAGTTGGGCGGCACATTAATCTGACCTATGGAGCTGCGGATGTTGCTTGGCACCCTTCAGATGGTCAGTGGTGATGTTTCACTGGTGTTGTTTCAGTGATGATGTTTTTGTTGTGATGTTTCACTGTCATATTTTAAGTGGATTGTTATATTTTTTTATTTTTATGGAACTCTAACTTCTGCCATTTTATTCTATATTAATTCTTGATTACAGAAAGTATGTTAGCGTCTGCTGCTACCAACGGCTGTGTAGTAATATGGAATCTTAGTAAAGGAGCCAAAGCAAAACAAGGTATTGAATTAGAACAAAAAAAAGTTAAAATGTAATTGTTTTTTTTAATTGTTTTGTGAATGTAAATCCCATTCATCCATAAGTCGACCCCCAGTTTTGGCTGGAAAAGCCTGAGGCTGTCTAATAACTGATAAGCCGACCCTATAAACTAATATGCTAGAGTAAGCCATACAGTACTAAAAAAATGTTATAAATATCAACAAGTTTACATTAGTGCAGTCATCTGGTAACTTACTAAATATAGGTCAGGTGCTCTTACTAAACAGTCTCAAAATGAGTTATTTTGGCTGTTCTAAAAATAGACTTCAGCTGCTGCTACAATCTTTTAAAAATAGGACAATCTGCCCTTGTGTGGAACATTTGGGAATGAAAAATAAGAACCCTACTTGTGACCTAATTTTGCAAACAGCATTACGCTCTACAGTGACTTCTTGATTTCGGCTAATTACTTTTTACATCTCTGTTTTCTATAACTGAATCAATGTGCCTAGGAAATATTATAAAGATTCTTGTTATTCAGGGGAATGATCTAAGCTGAAAAGGGTGTTGTATTTTGAAGGGTGTAGGGGAACAGAAGTCTCTCTACCCAAACACCTACTGACCTTATCAAAATGTATTATTTCATTCCATTGGTTATGTTTAGCAGTTGTTTCAAGCTTATGATTTAATTCCATGATCAAACCAACTTTTGAGATCTTACAAGGGAGGTGGCCTCAGAAAACAATATTCAGTGGCAATGTGTCATGCATATATCCTCTTCCCCCCCCCCCCCCGTCCCATGTTATTCTTATTCATTATGTTTATTGTTGCCTTTTAAAACAGGACAATTTTTGATAAATTTAACCTGTAACTTAAATAAAAATTATTCTTGCGTGTAAAATGGAAATTTAAGATTTCATCCTTGATATGCCACATTGTATATTTTCAGCAATGGTATACCAAGAACACAAGCGCTCAGTAAACAGGGTAGCATTTCACAATTCGGAACATAATCAGTTACTTAGTGCATCCCAAGATGGGGTTGTTATGATTCATGTCAGTATATTTACTACTTTTTTACACTCCAACATTTGGAATTAAAAATAATCTATTTAACTCAGAAGTGTCTCACATTTTCTGTAAGGAAAAGTCAAATTAAAAAATTAATTTTCTATCCACTGCAACAGTCATGTTGATCAACTCATATCTTTTATGTTCACAAAATTGTTTCATGTTTATTATCTATCCAGGATGTGCGTATGCAAATACCATGTATCAAATTTGGCGTGCTTGGAAGCGACAGTGTCAGAGATGCCCAGTTCTGTCCCCCTAGCATGGGCTATTTCTTATTTGCTGCAGCCTATGACAACGGGGGTGTGCAGGTAATGTGCATAGTTGAGTGTGCAGTGCACAAGTTGTTTGGTCTATTGGCAAATGATTCAAGAAATGTGATGAAAGTCTAATGAGTGTAATGAGAGGCTTAAAGCTATTAATGATTTAGAGCTGTATTGCCGGCCGTGTTGTAGTATTGTGTGCCTCACCACTTAGAGATAGTTTCAAATTCCTCTGGAATTATCCTCGACTGTGGTTAAAGCAGCTCATTGAGGGGATGAGGGCAATCCCTGAGTAATAAACCTCAGTAACTTGGCATGTGTTAACCTGACTTATAACCTGACTTATATTAATTCACTAGCAGCCATTTTAAGAGCTAACCAGGATTAGTCTAATATGTTCAGGGTATGGAACTTTTTTTCTCAAGGTATTGTTACCGTTACATATTTTATTTCTGAGGTTTTCTCCTAAGATAAGCACAATCTGCTATAAGAGTTAGGAACTATCTTTTTCTGCCCTTGCAGACCTGGGACATGCGGCGACCAGACAGATGTGAAAAGCAGTTCATGGCCCACAATGGTCCAGTGTTCTCTTTGGACTGGCACCCGGCAGAGAAGACCTCTTGGCTTGCCACAGCGGGCAGAGATAAAATGATCAAGGTATGCTGCATAAGGTTCTGACCAGTTCTTTCTTTACATTTCTGTACAATATCTGATTTTACAGATTAGCGTATCCAATTGACATGTAAATATTACAATTCCAATTGACGTTAGCTTCAATTGTTATGAAGAAAACACCAAAAGTTTCCTGTGGCGTTTAGATCAGTGGTTCTGAAACTTTTCAGCATGGTGAACCCCCTGAAGTTATTGACATTGTAGTATATAGATTGGGGTCCAATTTACTGATTATTGTCATTTAACAAATCTTCTTAAATTCTCCACCTTCTGCGGACTGCCAGCTTGCAGACGTGTGCCAGACCAGGTTGACCACTTTGAGTACATCTGTATTAGATAATAAATTTTAAATAAAAACTGTTTTAAGCCAAGCTACCATGTTAAAACCTATGCTCTGATGCTCAATAACTGGTTACAGGAAAAATTAGTACTAGATTGAGTCTACAAGCCTACCACTCCCAAATTAATCTGGTAAAATATCTTGTCTTAGTCAGAAAGGGTCTAACTTCTAAGCCAATATATTATTCTAGTTTAACCTTATGAAGCTGTGGGAAATGATTATCATTGATTAATTGGCTGAAATATAAACAATTTGTTATTGCAGGTGTGGGACATGGCACGGACGGACAGAATGGCGCTACCCCAGTGTTTATATAGCATCACAAATATATCCTCTGTGGCGCGGGTGAAGTGGCGCCCCAACAGGAAACATCACATTTCCAGCTGTTCTCTGCTCGTTGATCACTGCGTCAATGTTTGGGATTTAGGTCGGCCTTACATCCCGTTTGCTTCCTTCGAAGGTCATGGCGATGTTGCCACTTGTAAGTTTTCTTCTTCTTCTTCTTCTATATCTTAAGGGCCCACGATCAATTTATTGATCATTTTGGCTCCTATGCATGTAGATGGGATTTGCCATGTTTCTGTTACTGGTGTTTTAAAATATTTCACTACAGATTTTAGGGACAGAAAGGTATTATTATATTTATTAGATTCCTAAGAAACAAACCATCATCCAGGCTGCAGACTCCAAATCCAGATTGTATGTCATATTGTTGCTTTACAGTGCAGATAGAAGTGATCTATGGAATGAAGTGACACACTTTTTTTTTTGTATTTAAGATGTAAGCATTCTTTGTCATATTTTGCAATATGAAAATTTTGGCTTTAAAAACATATCTAAACTCTCTCTCTCTCTAACTTGGTCTCATCTTATCAGTATCTTATATAGATTTTGGATACATATTTCATAGCATTACAATTAACAATAAAGGAATTTTATAAGTCTGCCTATGTCTAACTGATGTATCTTGGTGTCCAGGTATCGAGTGGCGTGAAGATTGTCACACTTTTCTGAGTTGTGGTAGAGATGGATACATTATCCAGCATATATTTAATGATGCCAAAAGACCAGCTGACCATGCAAATCTTGCAGGGTTGGATCTTAGCATTAAAGGAGAGATAAGCTATGCATTCTTTGATAGAAAAGGTAATTAAAAAAAGATATTCTTTGATCGTTTGGTAACTTAAGGTTTTTTTTATTGTGAGAGACTATGTGTGCAATTTTTTTAATAACGTTGACAGAATTTTGTTGTAAATTTTAATTTGATGGCGTATGCAATTAAAATTTGACCTATGGTTAATTGAATTTGCCATGCTTTTATCAAGTTAAAGAAAGTAAAACTAAAGCAAATATATTTTTAATGAAATTTCCAATTGACCAGCTTGATTAAAAAAAAATATCTATGGAAAAAAATCTACATTTTAGATTAAAAGAAATCCTGAAATCATGGATAATTGTGGAGTGAATCATGGGAGATGTGGAATGTCCAAACAAAATCAATAGATCAGAATGTTAAGATTCCAGCCAAAGACAATTTTTTTTTGTCCTGCTTTAAAACCAATTTATTTTGATCCTATTGTTAAAACTAATTTCTTCCTGTCCGCCAGATCATTCCTACTCAAGCTTGGGTAAATCCAAAAAGTTGCCAAAGTCCCGACAATTTACCCAAGCCATAAGTTCTTTGTGGGTCTTTGAACAGAATGCTGAAGCCAAACTTGCTCCAGCAGATGAAGATGCAGATGAGGTTGGTTGTTCCTATATGAAGGACTTAAACCCCTAGCATACCAGCCCTTGGTTAAAGTCGCAATAAAATTCTCATATAATATCAAATTTAAATGCAAACCTATGGAGACAGCGTTAATTTTTTAAATTAATGAGCTATGAGTGAATAAATTTAACAGTGTTCCTAATTTCCAAAAGTTTCATGAATGATATATTATATTGGACTTAAAGCAATTCACAGATTTGTAATGAAACATTTCATGTCCTAAAAGAAAATAATAGCTCATGATGGCACTTGCTTTACAGTTGATCAAACTGATGTCTCTCTTTTCTGTGGTGAAGTATATTGATAGAGAAAGGAGGTAGAAAATAGGCTGATATTACAAAGAACTGTTTTGTCTGTCATGCTTTTTAAATTAAAATGGTCATTTATGAAAGTTAAGAAACAGAAATCAAACATTCAAATTTATCTTTTTCTCTGAACCATAAATAACAGTAACAGTGTTACAAGTTTTAGCTCCACTCAGAGTCAGATAAGATCAACTCCTATTTACCCCACCCTCATATTTCTCATTGCCCAAATACAAATCTTGTGTGATGTGAATGACAACTCTGATGTGAATGACAAAACTGATCTCAATGACAACACTGATCTCAATGACAACACTGATGTGAATGATAACACTGATGTGAATGACAACACTGATCTGAATGACAACACTGATCTGAATGACAACACTGATCTCAATGACAACACTGTTGTGAATGACAACACTGATCTCAATGACAAAACTGATGTGAATGATAACACTGATGTGAATGACAACACTGATCTGAATGACAACACTGATCTCAATGACAACACTGATGTGAATGATAACACTGATGTGAATGACAACTCTGATGTGAATGACAACACTGATCTCAATGACAACACTGATGTGAATGATAACACTGATGTGAATGACAACACTGATCTCAATAACAACACTGATCTCAATGACAACACTGATGTGAATGATAACACTGATGTGAATGACAACACTGATCTGAATGACAACACTGATCTGAATGACAACACTGATCTCAATGACAACACTGATGTGAATGATAACACTGATGTGAATGACAACACTGATCTGAATGACAACACTGATCTGAATGACAACACTGATCTGAATGACAACACTGATCTGAATGACAACACTGATATGTGCAGACAACGTTGTTTTATCAGACATCGAAGTTATTAATTAATTTTTTTAAAGTGTTGGATAAAACAAACAAAGAAATTCGCCGTCCCAGACTGTTTGTACAGCTGATATCTTTTTATTTCCTTTATAAAAATATAATAAAAATGACAAAAAGACACGTTATTGTTGTTACAAATATACAAAAAAATGTTAACAAGAACGAAAATTAATGGGCTTTTCATCCCTTATCAAAGGCATTTTTAAAATTATTGTTGAAAATTAGGTACTCACATTCTTGTTTACAAAAATAATGATTCATTCTTTGCATTTCTGCTATAACTTGTTTTCAGACTGATATGACAATGATGCAGACGTTTAAGGAATTCGCCCAAGAATATAAGTTAGACGGTCTTTCATTAGTGGAGTTGTGCAAACATAATGCTGAAGTAGCAGATTTCTACCATAAACCACAGGTATGTGAAGACCATTTCTGGGAGAGCTGCACTTTTCTCCGTGCGCTCAGATAGTTTGGTGCTGTTTTATATCAAAGTCAAGGAACGGGGGCAAAATTTAAATTTAATATGAAATAAAAATTAATACAATTTTTTAAAGTATTTAATGAACTCAGAGAATTCACCGGGACACAGCTCAAAGTATGGTTCTAATGTCCCGGTCACTGGCGTACAAAGTTGTGGGGAAAAAATACATAGTTTAGGTAGCTTTTTGGTCAATTTAATACCCTTATAATATGAGAAAATGTAAATGTTATAAGTTATACAAAGCTGATCCATGTTCATTTTGTTGACAGTTGTAGACTTTAAAGAGCACTTTGATAAACCACTAATTAGTATACATTGCAGTCAAATGAAAGCAATTCAAACTTGATAACAACAAATTTATAGCAAAATCCAAGTATTAACTGCTGCATCTTCTTTATATCTATCACATTTTCTATATATCAAGTTTCCAGCCTCATTATTACTCCTGTCACATATTTACTCAGCAACATATTTACTCCAGCCACATATATACTCAACCCACACATAAATTCAATCAAATATTTCCACCACACATATGTCACTAAAAATAAATCTCATTCGCACAAATATTCCAGATTTCTCAAATATGGCGGATGCTGGCAACTGTGTATGCCTCATCCATATGCCCACAGTCTGGGTCAGGTCACATAAACAGGATTGGTTCACTGGGAATCACCAACTCACAACTAGACAAACAAGACCACAAAGACCTGGGTGAGATGTTTGCCAAGTTATAAGCCCATGCCTTAATATAGGATAAGATTCTTTATTGCTCCAAATAAATGGAATTGTGTTTTTATTACATTGAACGTTTTCATTTTAAGAATATGGATAAACCTTCTGGTTAAGATAACAATTTTTAAACTAAAACAATTTAAACATAAGACAATTTAAAGCAGGGGTAGCCAACCTTTTCAGCAGTCGGGCCAAATTTCAGAAATAAAATTTCCTGCCGGGCCACGCCCCTTCTTTTTTTGTGTGTTAATTAAAGTAAACAAGCAAGCGTGCTACAGATTTGACCACATCGCCACTTCTCAGTGGATTGAGATTGTGGTCATACGCTTGCCTGGTTTAATGTAATATATGCAAGAAATAGGTATATTTCTTTTTTTGAAGAAAATAAAACATAACTGAGAATCAAACATGTTTAAAATGCAAGATATTTCAAATAAATCTTAGCTATAATATAAAAATATATGCTTTGAAAGCCTCATGATGTAATATTCTTTTGGTGATATGTGCAATAACGTTAACTGTAATGTTCATTTTACCTAGCTCCACGGGCCGCAACATGACTCCCGGCAGGCCGATTGTGGCCCACTGGCCTCATGTTGGCCACCCCTGATTTAAAGTATTTCTGAAGGGCAAAAATCAACCATCATATATCATCAAACCTCACTTCCTTAATGTCAAAATTGACTTTATGAGTTATTTATTAATTTAACAGCTGGGGATAGGTGGGAAATAAATGTATATCCACATCTTTTGTTCCTCACTTTGATGGAAAGACTTTGCCCTGATTGAGCTGATCTTAAGTAACTATAATGGAAAGAATTTGCTGTGATCGAGCTGATCTTAAGTAACCGGGATGAAGTGGATGGGATATATCGTCAAACATTTTTGTCAGTTTTAAAAATGCATTTTGCCTCAAATATTTTTGAGTTAGTTTTGTTTGTTGAGATTTTAAACATAAATTGCTTTCTTGTTGAGTCTGTTTAATCGGTCTTTGATGAATTCTCACACCAGCAGGTAATAACCAAGTTCAGTAGGTTTCCCATTGTTGCATTGTAGAATATGTTAATAATTGGATTGGTTAACACCGAAATTGTATAATTTTTTTAGTTAGAAAAGCTTTGAGTTTTTTTATATATATTTCGGCAGTGGTCTTATAACGTCAGCTTATTATTAATGGTGACATTTAGGTAATTATTTGTCACTACTTGAACTATACCAGTGTTTCTTCTACTGGGGTCAGCAGTCCCCTAGGGCAGTGGTCCCCAAATGGTGGACCGTGGACCTTCACAGGTCCGCATGCCTAACGCTCCCGGTCCCCATAACATAAATATTCATTGTCAAATAGAAATAGAAGTATAAAAATAAATGATGCAAAAATGATGGTAAAACTTCGAAATTTGTTCACCGGTCCGCCAAACTTAAACGTTTGGGAACCACTGCCCTAGGGGACCACAAAGTGCTTTCAGGGGGACTGTGAAGGGGTCACTTAGATACAAATTTTGGGCTATTTGCGATGGTTGCTATGTCCCACTGAGGAATCAAATTATTCATTTAATTTTGAGAACTGCTAGTATATTAAGTTTGTGTATTAAAAATTTCTCAATCTTTCTTATGCCTAACAGTCTATCGTCTCATCCCGTTTTTTCCTTGTTAAGATTTTCTTTTCTAAATGATACTAGTTATACTATGGATGTTCTATTATCTTAATTAATTTGCCTATTTCATCTAGTTTTTAATTGTTATCTTAAACAATATTATTTACTAATTTATGTTTAAAATCTCAACAAGTAATTTTTTTTACAGATTATAATGCCTCCAAAAAATTTAATGAGATCTGACATGAGATCTGACATTTTATATTTGAAATTTGGTTTTACTGTAATAAAGTCTAGTGGGAAAAGAAACATTTGTGTTTTGTGTTCTGATGGGTTGGCATCCACTTCTATAAAGCCCAGCAAGCTAAGGAGACACTAGGAAACGAAGAATTCCAGCTCAGTAAACAAAGATGTCGATTTCTTTCAACACCAAGCTGAACGATTGCACAAATCCAGTCTTGAAGACAAATGAATATTTTCTAAAAGCCTCCTATGGGGTTTTAAGGAAAATAGCTGCCACCAAGAAACCCCAGAGCATCTGAGAACAGTTGATATTATTACCTTGCTGCAAATGTATCACATCGGATGTGCTGAGAAGTTATCAACTTGAGAAGCTAAAGCATGTTTCCGTGTCCAACGATACTGTTAAGAGGCGAACAGTGAAGATGTCTGATAACATACTCTCTGAGTTGTTCTGGAAGATTCAGAATTTAATTTTCAGCTTCTTTGCGATCTAGCTTAATGAAACGACTAATATCGCCAACTTAGCCCAACATTGCGCCTACGTACAATATGTTTATGACGAGCGACTGGAAGATGATTTTTTTGTTTTGTGAACAACTGCTAAATAAATATTTGATAAAGTGGTCAGATTCTTTGAGTCACTTGGTATCAAATGAAAATATGTCATTGTCGTGTATACTGACGGCGCTCTATGCTTGAATTCCGTTTTGCTTTTCAAACTTATGTTAAGCAAAAATCCCCAAACATTATTGGTAACATTGCACTATTAATCCCCCAGCCTTAATGGCAAAAACCAAGCCTGATGAGTTGAAAAATGTTCTCAGTGAAGTGATTACAGCAGTGAACTTCATTAAAGCGAATGCACTCAACCCTCGTTGTTATGAAAAGAAAGTGGTTCCGGATTTGAAAAACTCTTTTTGCACCACTCCCACGCGAGATGTCTTACCAGAAGGAAAAAGTGTTTAAGAGACTTTTCTTACTGCCTCAAGAAATGCAGCAGTTTTGGCAAGATGCTAAACCAGGCTCGAACCCAAGATTCTCTGTCAGTTTTCCTATGTTTCTGTCATTTAAGTGTCGACATTTTGAATCCTTGACTTGAATTCCATCAACATGGGGCTGCAGGGACAAGAGAGCTCAGTGATTCCTTGTCATGAAACATTGACAGCTTTCAAAGTGAAGCTCGCACTATGGCATGCAAAGTTAAAGAAGAAGAGCTATGCCCCATTTCCACACTGAAGCCACACATTGATAAAAATGAGCTTTACACTGATGACACTATCCTTGAGGGGATGAAATAACATGTATCCATTCTTAGCGAAGGAATTTCTCATTATTTTCAGGATTTATAAGAATTTGAAAAGTAATACTTCTTTATCAACAAGCCCTTTGTACGTTCCATTAGTGATCTGCCTTTTAGAGGACAATTTATATCAAGAACAGATTATTGATTTGATAAGTGATGGGGGGTGCAAAACATGTTTTCCGTGACATGTGTTGTAGTGATTTTGGTAGTGAAATGGCGCAGTCCTATCTTGGTCATACTTGATGTTGCACAGATGACTCTAAGATTGTTGAATCCGTTTGAGATGGCTTTTCCAAAGTACTTGATATAAAAACAAAGCTTTGAAACAGATTAGACATGAAAAATAACAAGAGTTGCACTGGCCAAAACAAGCCAAACCTCGAAGAACTGGTTACGGCAAAACAGCCGCACCAATCCCATTAAATGTACATTTGATGACTAAGTTTTGCCATTTTCTGAATAAACAACTGGTTTTTTTCAAAATGTTTTGGTAACAGCAGCCTATAGGATAATTGTACTTAATTGTAAAGGGTCTGGAAACAATTGTAAGGAGACTGTCATGCAAGGAATCCTAAAAAAGTTTGAAAACCATTGCTCTATACTGCAATTTTTTTTATTGATTGATCTGCAATTTTGTGATTCCCCTCTGGAAATCAAAAAACATTTCTTTGGTTTTTGATACATTCAAGAAAAGAAACATTTTCACCACACCAACTAATTAAGCTTGTATCTAAGCTGCAGTATAAACATATAGATTAAGTGATTTTTTACTTACACTTTTCTGTCCTTATGAAAGGATATTGAATCGTTTTTTTTTCTCTATTCACCTTTGAAAAAAAAAAACTAACTATTTTTCAACAAGCTTTTAACAGTTTTTGTTTTCACCTGTTCCTAGTGGTTAAATCAGCTTTAAAACGAACAAGAGAAAAAGACAAAAAGAAAACTGCACAGGAGTTGAAAAAAAAAGAAGCTACATCAGGTAAGTAACATGAAAACAAGGTTGAATTTTGAAAACTATTTATTTGAGCTAATATTTTTAGACATGTTGCTGCTTCTCTAAAAGAGATAATTGAATGCATAGTCTATTGTTTGTTTTAGCAGGGCTGGAGTTTTTTTTTTTAACATTCAAACATAATTGGTTTGTTTTGGTTTAGGAGTTTTTTTAACATTCAAACAAAATTTGTTTGTCACTGTGGAAAAACAAAAAAGTTTTAAAATGCAATGTTACATTTTAAACAGGAAGTAATGAAGAAAGCTCCGATGTCGAGGGGGAGAGTTCAGAGGTGGAGAAAAGTATTCGAGGATCCAACACTGAGACTAACTTCCTGTTTGGAGATGGTGGAGAGGATGACACAGAATTGTACACCACAGAAGGGATCTTTAATCCTGAAGATTATGTAAGTTACATAGTTACGCAAAAAATTATATTTCTAAATTAAAATGACTAAGCAATGACAAAAATAACAATCATATTTTATATGTTTAGATTCATAATGCTTACAAATGTAAATGAAAAGGCATTTAGGGTGATCAACTCATTTGTTTTGCAGCAGGGATCATGTACTCAAAATATAAAATAGGAGGTTAACAAATTAAATTGCCATCTAAACTCCTTTTATTATAGATGTAAAATAACTAAAATATTTTATATTCAAATCTGCTAATACTATGGCTGAATTATTATTATTTTAAAAATCATTGCAATGAAACTGCAAATCCTTATTTCCTGTGTTTAGGACTGGACTCGGCAAAATCTGCCATCTGAAGGTTTTCAGCCCAGACATGAACTAAAAGCCATGATAGGCACACATCCCACTACCATGGAGTCTGAGATGGCCTTGACGTCCATGCTGGAGTCGTTCATGCCCCCAGAAGCCAACGACCAGAGTTGCGAGCCAACACTTGTCATCAAACAGATTCATGAACCTGAATTTATGGATTTTTCTCCTTCTGTGGCTAACGTCATTAAAAACCTTGCTGAGCAGGTACAGTCGAGTGTTACGAGTAATTTTGTTATCTAAAGATCCACTTTAAAGCAGTTGAGTTTTTGACATACAAAATAATAAAAATCTTAGACTGGTTCAAAGTGATTAAACTTCAGTGATACAAAGTTAACCAAATAGTGTCACAACCAGTGCTTCACTAAGTGAAACGTCAGTGAACTATTCAACTTAAGGCTTTCATTATCATGTTTTAATTGTAAGGAAATGTTCATATCATTATTTCAATGTTTACAATGTATGGAGTCGCTCTTATTGTTACATAACATTATCAGGTTTTAAAAATTAGTCTGTTTTAAGATTTGGCTTGGTAAATAAACAATATGTCACAAAGAACAGAAAAAAGCAGAATACAAAGAAAAATGATACCAAAAGCTAGCGATACTAACAATATTCAATTTAATTATGCTATTAAGTTTATATAAATATTTAAAATATTACGTCTCGCAAATGTCTTGGGAAAATAGCAAAAATCTCTCTCAGCTAGGAAAGCTGTGGGCTTATATACATAAGGAGTAAGTTAGAGTACTCTAGAAAAGAAATTCTAAAAATTGCATCATGTGATAGCTTTATTCAGAAAAAATAGAACTTATTAGAACGTAAAACAACTTTTCCCAATCAAGGGAGGGGTGGGGAAAAAGGATTGGCGCTAGGTATTTAATGGATGATGTCAATATCAAAACAAAACAGAGGAGAGAGGTGTTAGAACTCTTAAGCTCAATGTTTAAGTTTAAAAAAATAGGTAGAGATCAAGACATAGGCTATACTATAATATTACATTATCTTTATTTCAATTTTTCAATTGTAGAGAGATGTTCCTACTGTTATAATATAGCCCAGACCTTGACCTATTTTTCACTTTAAGGTGGAGCTATTTTTAGCCACCACCACTTATCTTGTTAGTTTGGCCTTGATCTTGACGTCACGGATTAAAGATGCCATGTCACTCATTCTCGGCCCGCCCCTTTCTTGGCTGGGAATTTCTATCATTTCTGTACTAAAACATTCTGAGTTGGTTCCTATATTTAAGCTCCATGCTTTCTTAGCAGCAAGACAGAGAGAGAGATTTTGCTAAAGGAGTCTTTATATGATTGTGTGTGTAAGTTAATATTTGTATTTTGAGGAGTGTACCTTTTTCTTTTGCTGTAAGTTGATAGAGTTTTTTGTTGTACTCGAATTTGTTTTGAAATGTATTTGTACCATGACCATAAAATTAAATGTAATATTGTTAGTATCACTAGCTTTGGTATCGTTTTCTTTGCATACAGTTTTTCTCACTCCTTTGTTACATATTGTTTATTATGCAAGTCAAATCTTTACACAGATTAAATTTTCAAAATGATAATGTTACATAAAAGTATCTTTGTTTAATGGTTTCAATTGTAGAGAGATATTAATATCTATATTTCAATGTTTCAATTGTAGGGGGACGTTAATATCAATATTTCAATGTTTCAATTGTAGAGAGATGTTAAAATCTATATTTGAATGTTTCAATTGTAGAGAGACGTTAATATCTATATTTCAATGTTTCAATTGTAGAGAGACGTTAATATCAATATTTCAATGTTTCAATTGTAGGGGGACGTTAATATCTATATTTCAATGTTTCAATTGTAGATAGATGTTAATATCTATATTTCAATGTTTCAATTGTAGAGAGACGTTAATATCAATATTTCAATGTTTCAATTGTAGATAGACGTTAATATCAATATTTCAATGTTTCAATTGTAGATAGACGTTAATATCTATATTTCAATGTTTCAATTGTAGGGGGACGTTAATATCAATATTTCAATGTTTCAATTGTAGAGAGACGTTAATATCAATATTTCAATGTTGCAATTGTAGATAGACGTTAATATCAATATTTCAATGTTTCAATTGTAGATAGACGTTAATATCTATATTTCAATGTTTCAATTGTAGGGGGACGTTAATATCAATATTTCAATGTTTCAATTGTAGAGAGACGTTAATATCTATATTTCAATGTTTCAATTGTAGGGGGACGTTAATATCAATATTTCAATGTTTCAATTGTAGAGAGACGTTAATATCTATATTTCAATGTTTCAATTGTAGGGAGATGTACAAAATAGTGTTTCAATGTTGATTGTGTTGGGAGATCTCATCAGAGCTCACATTGATGAAGTCTATCAGGAAAGTTGGTTTTTTGCTTACATAGGTAAGGCTATTTACAAGGGAATTATGGTATATTTTTTTTATAAGCATAAATTTCTCATAAAAATGCAAAGCTTCACACATATGAAACAGCATTAAATGTTTGGTGTGTTCAAGTTACTATTCACGTAAAGGTTTTTAAAATGTTTTATAGATAATAATTTAATTTGTTTAAATATTAAATGAGACTAGGAAATAGATCTACTCTTATTATTTAGCAGACAAAAATGAAAAATTTTTAAAGTTATAAATCCTTTATATTTGAATACAAAACTGTTGCCCTGTTTTCATGAAGATTTGCTCGGACGGTTTGAACTTTGGACCGTGGCCAACTTAGTGATCAAACAGTCCAAGTTGATGGTGGTGAGTTCCCTGAATCAAGAATCTACAGTTATACACACAATGTGCTTCCGATGTTCACGTGCCTGTGATAGAGTTGCTTGGCTGTGTGACAAATGTAAACGTGGAGTCAATATTTGCAGTGTCTGGTAAGTGGAAGTGTCCAGCTATAATTTTTAATGATTTAGTTGATGTCTCTTAGTACATTCCAATGAAATCTCGCTTTGATATCTATATCGATAATGCTCACATTTTTGTAACACCTTATGTGTCAAGATTGCAATGAGCTCAGTTAAGAATATTTCGTTGAACCAACTTTGAAACAACAATTACAAAATTTATTCTGGAATAACCAGAAATGGGATTTGTTTTTAGTTGTACTTTTAATGTATTTTTTTTTTCTCCTAGTCTTTTTTTTTTTTTTTTTTTTCCTGTTTTGGTCAAATAAAGTTATAAAATTACAAATAGAATAAACTACAAATTTTTGTTGATAAAAGCAGACAAGATTTTTTTTTTTTTTTTTTTTTTTTTTTTTTTTTTTTTTTTTTTTTTTTTTTTTTTTTTTTTTTTTTGCCAGTTTTGGTCAAATAAAGTTATAAAATTACAAATAGAATAAACTACAAATTGTTGTTGATAAAAGCAGACAAGGATAGGACATATTTAATGGGTGATTTCATCCCCATAGAGAGTTTCAAAAAAGTCTTTCATATTTAGTGGTGGGAGAAAGGCTGGGACTTAAAAAACTATTTGCCAAATAAAAATAAGTAACATGCTATAATTTTATTTCCCCAGCCACCATCCAGTGAGAGGTTTGATGGCCTGGTGTCAAGGATGCTGTCATGGTGGACATATTGACCACATACAGGAATGGTTGACTTTCAGTAATCAATGTCCAGCTGGCTGCGGCCATCTCTGTGAATTCTTATGAGAAGTTATTTATAGAAATGACCAGTGCACCTGTACTCAGAAATGAGAAAGTCTTTCAAGAAACAGATTGGCATGACGCAACGAATTCAGAATAAATCCTTGGTGGCGTCTGTCTCAGGATTATGGGAATGTCATGTGACAATATGAAGTTTGTCTCAGGATTATGGGAATGTCATATTAAAAATCCTAACAGCGAAGCCCAAACTCTTTGGGTGATGCAACATGACAATAATTCAGTATTACGCAGGAATTCTTTTTGTAAGATTTGTGTTCAGTAGAGGTTTAGTTAGGAAAAAGAAGTTATGCTTTTAAATGTACAACTACATTCAGCTGAGTGATTGTAGGCATAAGTGTAACTAGCCTCTTGTTTTAGGCGTGCAGTGGGACTTTTCTTTGTTGTACAGTCAACGTATTTAAATACCGTTACTTTTATTAGTATTAAGGACATTAGTAGAGACCCAGAATTTCTGCCTCCCATGTCAATTTGCAACTTTTGGGGGTTGGGAATTATCTAACGAGCTCAGGGGTGGGGCAAATTTTTTGTGCAGAGGTGCCACATCACATGGATTAAAATTTTGGCGGGCCACATGACCATTTCCTAGGAATCTAAAATTAAAGTTCAAGGTGAGATTATACCTTACGTGTTACATTTAATTACTAGCTAATAGGATGGACAGTGATAGTCTGTTATTATTAAGTTACATAGTTTTAAATGTTTAATAACATATTTGTAGCTTCAAACCAGTTTTTAAAAATAGTTTCCCCCAAGTCTGAAATCAAAGTACTTGCGTAAAATAGAATCCAAATAAGTATTGGTGAGCTGAAACCTGTATGTGGATTAAGTGATGTTCAAGCAGGAGAAAGTTTGCTGTCAGATGTATGCTGAGCCTTGTCAAACAATCAGTTTAAGAGCAATGTGTTTTATATTTGGAAATAAGAGCAATGTGTTTTATATTTGGAAACTGATCTCTACAAGTGATTCATAAAATTGTTAATTCAAATTTCAATGTCGTTTAATGTCTCTGAGAATTTTGTAAGTCTGAAAGTCTATTAATTCCGGATGCAGATTAGTAGAATCTTTGTCCATGTATAAAACTGGCCCGATGAGAAGAATGCAATGCTTCACAATGAATACAGTTTATTGTTTTTTAAAACATGGAGGCCATTAAATTAACTGGCCATTATAGCGGCTTCTTGAACCAGATCATAACTTGGCAAAAGTTATTTATATCTATTTTATATTTCTATCCAAACCATCAGCTTTATGCTTTAATTCAGCTTTATTCAAATTAATTTTAAAATTAGACTGCAAATATTGTCTGAGATTATATTCTTTGAGTACAATTACATTTTAAGCCTGCAGCATTAGGTTTAATATCAATTTTAAAAATACACAGTCCAGTCTTAGCACTCCATTCTATTTCAAAAGCTTACATAAAAGTTAATATTTATAACTGACATTATTGTTTTTGTATTATACAATAAACTTATGAATCTTACAAAAAATGTGCAGCAAAATGTCTAGTCAAGGGAACTGACACTAGTTCTGACTCAGAGAGTGATATCACAGATGTGTACTGAGGAAATGATCTTGGAAATACTGCGCAACAAATTTCAGCAGTTTTATTCTAAGCTTTTGAATTCACAGACATTGTTGCTCAGCCAGATTTTTCAGAGACTTGAGGATCTATTTTAATATACAATAAATATGGGCTTCAAAAATTCATTACAAATTCTGTTTGAAAATATGCAGCAGAGTATTTTTAAATTTATTGTGATATTATTATTATGGTTAGACAATTGCACACTGTAATTAAAACATTTCAATGCTTTTACAGATAATCTTTTTTTTAAAACTATATATTTTAGGAAAACATTAATCCAGTTCCCTGGAAAGTCTCACGGGCCACAGTAAACGTTTCAGCGGTCCGCATGTGGACCCCTGAACTAGCTAAAAGATGTGATACAGGCCCTATTTTATATCTTTCACAATTTATTTAAATGTATATACTGTAATGAGATGTTAAAATAGCATCACATACTAAATATCCCTTGGCAGCGCTACATTTTTTTAAAATATGGGAACTTAACCCAGACCTGTTTACCCTCATACTCCAAAAATCGTACAATATTATCACAAAATCGTTCAATACCTTATATTTATAGAAAAAAATAAACATACAGTATACATGTTAACACCTCAAAATCGTACATTGTACGCCAAAATCGTAAGAGTAAACAGGTCTGACTTAGCCCTTTCTGAATTTTGGCGTTTTCCCAAATTTGCTTAAGGGATATTAGCAATGTACAAATCAATGTTGCATAAAAGTTTTGAAGAATTTCATTTATTAAAATTATTGTTCCCATTACCTTGCCAATGTCAACAGTTTAAAATGGTTTGGGTCTCTTTTTGAGCCAGCAATTAGAGCTGACAGAGATCCAGATCATTTTGGATCGTCAATGTTTTGAATTTTAATCAGAGCACTGTGTGATAAATTAGTTTTTCCTAATTCAAGTCCTTAGTCACTGAACAGTAAGTAGCTTCATCGGAGCAGATACAAGACAAATAGTGTAAAAAGTTGATGATGTTGAGAATAGTCCCTTAGTGCTCCTTATATTTTATGTAGTTTTTGTTTGACATTTCAGTGGATGTATAGTTGTGTATTATAAATAGTGTTAACTTTCTGTTTGACTACCTCATAAGTGAATTATTTTTATGATAATTAACCCAAACAGCATCAGTGTTATGTTTGTTAACTTTTAACTTGAATGGATCACCTCCCCCACCACTTTTTGTGTTTATTTGAGGATTAGAATAGTTCACTAACGCAATTATTTCTTTCTAAATTTTAAGAGTTTTCCTCTTCTTTTGATAAATCTTCTTTGAAGAAAACACATTTTACAGTTGCTATCTGCAATTTTTTAAGTTAATTTTTGTATCAAAGGATCACTTCTTTGTATTTTTTAAGGGTGCAACCTGAATAGACAAGGGATATTATCCATTACATCAGAAGAATGAACTTCCTTTACTACACATCTGTCAAAAGATATCTCCCCTTCATTGACAGGCTATGATAAAAATGTATAGATATGCAAAATATATATTTAACTAGAATTTATAAAATATTGCAATGAAAAAATAACTTCTCAAAATCATTATTTTGCATGTAATATTTTTTATTGTTAAATAATTTTTAAAGCTTGCCATAATAAAACATCATTTGAAGAAGATAGTTGAGCAAAAAGGTGTTGGTGCATGATAAATTAAATATTTATTTTGCCTCTTGCCGTTTATGGAACACAACAAGCATTAAAGTTGATGAAATGCCAAACCAATAAAAACTGTACATTCTTTGAACAAAATAATTTGTATAATGACATGATCACTCTTTTCAGATCTTTGCTAGTTAGATTTTAACTGTCAACACTAATATAAGGCAATACAAGGACTAGTTTTATTTTCGAGGTAGTGTTGCTAGAACCAGAAAAACTTCCCTTATATATGCCAACATTAAATTGTTATGGTGGCACATAAGATTATGGCTTTAATTGGGTAATAGAGCTGTCAAAAGACCAGCTAATTATGACATTTCAACAAAATCATAAAAACTTTCATTCATTGATTTTTACTGTACTGATTAGCTGAGGCTTTAAACTGATTTACACACATCACTAATGAAACATCACAGCAGTTACAAATTAAAGAACTATTTATGAAAGCTTGTTTTGTCGAGGTTTGATGAGATCAAAATTATAAACAACAATACCTGACAATTATTTTGCACATATAAAAAGGTATACTTTGGCAGTATGTATACATATATATCTTCAAATGTGCAGAATAATTGTCAGGTATTATAACTTAAGCAAACACATTTAACTTTAAGACATAATAAAAGATAAATATTTTTTTCTTTTCTCCAATATATAAGTATAAACAAACTATGTGAATAACTTCATAAATCTGGCATATAAATCAATATCAATAGAAGGCCATTTGATGATAAATGCAAGGCCAGCAAAACTGCTGAATTAAATATAATAATGGACACATATTTTTTTTAAACACACCGTATAAATGTATTTGTGGGCTCAAATTCTGGAATTGTACAACACATTTCAAACTGAATTTTTTTTGGTAACATTTTAAGGAACTTTCACTATAAACGAACACACTGAAGTAATTTACTATCCAATAAAGAATTTCCCTTACTCCATTTTATTCCCCATAGGATATATTGAATATTAGCACAGATTCTTTAACATTTAATGATTGTTATATAAGTTTAGCTTTTTATATTGAAATTATTTCACAAACTAAATCACAAACTAAAATAAAATTGAAAAAGATAGATGTTAAGAATGAATATATTAACTGCTCCTTTCAGAAATGTTATTTTATTTCTTTTTTTGTAAAGGATTGATGGAATCTGAAAATGGCCTCTGTTAATTATAAAGCTTCAAGGTTATGTATGGAATTATCAAAATAGAAGTAACAAAACTTTTTTGAGTGAAATTCTCACCCTAATAGATACTAAGTTCCCCTTTTTAAATATGCAATCAGATTAAAGTAATTATAATTCTTTTCAAGCCTACAGCGACGTTCGATTTCCTGTTACTAGGGAAAAAATAGGTCAGTTTTGGACTATGGGTTTTAACTAAAGCAAAAGAAGATGTGGTACAAATAGTGCAGTTACCCGTTCAATGTTCTTTATATCTAGCCCATGCGATGCACTGATACAAGTTTGTTTAATAAATTATGTAAATGAAACTCCATCATAAATATTTCATTACTCTTCAACTTTTGGGTCCCATTTATAATGAAAATCCAGCAAATTTTGAATTATTTTTGATTTACAAGTTATGCATTTACTAGATATCCACGTTGTAGTTGCCATATCAAGATCAAGACCCATTTAAAGAAAAATCACTCCCAATTTTAACATGAGTAGTGAAACATTTAGAAAAATCAAAACTCCAACCAATAAAATGAAAGCATGTGTTCTGTGCATTAAGTTAAAAACTGTGCGTTTTTTCTGAATATAAAATGCTTATTCCCATAAAAAAAAATAATCCATCAAAATAATTTTAAAACTTAAATTAACAATAATTAGCATAAAGGAATGTTAATGAAGACACGATGATCTTTTAATATATTCTTAAATAAATCTTTTGACAAGGTTACTTTTTATCAACTGAAAAATAAGGTCATTAAAAAAAAAAAAAAACATTTTAAATGCTAAGTCTAATTTACATTTTGAATAAATTTATTGAGAATGCATTTAAAATGTAAAGCTTCTTGTTTAGTCTTCAACAACGGATGAATATGAATGGAGAATACCAACCAACCAGGACTTGAAAAATCTATATCAGGATCCCAAGCTAGGAGCAGAAATAAAAAAGGGTAGGCTACACTAGGCAGAAATAATGCCTAATGACAGAGCAGTGATGAGGGTACATCACCAAAACCCCCAGAGGGAAACGGCTCAAAGGCAGACCTAGGCTCAGATGGATGGATGATGTGGAAAAAGATCTACAACAGCTGGGAATCCAAGCATGGAAAAGAAAAGCATTAGTTAGGTGTGAGTGAAAGGAAGTAGAGAGGCAGGCCAAAGCCCTACATGGGCTGTAGCGCCACAGGGATGGATGGATGTTCTTTCCTAAAACTTATTTCTAAAAAATTCCATTTGTTTTTATTATATATGCAGAATTTAGTAGCTATCAATTAATTAAATATTTGATACATGATGAGAGATTGTAATTCACAACCATAATTTTGGATATTGTTGTTACTGACAATGACTGACCAGTGTTACCCCAGCTCACTATATTCTGCAATAAACTGTGATCTGGTGTTGCTGTTATTAGCCTGACTGAAGACCCCACTGAGCGTGTCCTCCATCTCCATTTCATTCTCACTATCACTAGTCTCAGCTCGGTTCATCAATAAAGCATATTCATCTTGGCTGGGGCCCTGTCTGATCTGCTGTTGTAGACTATAAACTTTATAGCCAAGAAAAATGACGACGGCTATCAAGATAACAAGGGCTGCCACCAGGTATGGAATCCAACCTAGGAAAGAGAAAATAGATCTATGTCAACTTGTTTATTCATATTTATTTTACCAACGTTCGTACTAGCAATTCTCTTCAAACAACATGTGATGCATTTTTAAGATCCTTGTCATAACTGTATTATCAGCATGTAAACCTGGCAGCATCATTCCACAAGCCAGATTTTTCATCAAGAGACACAATCCGTAGTAACACACAAGTACCACATATACCCATTCATAAGCCAACAGTTTTCTTGAAATATATCAGAAGAATAAGTGGAGTGGTTGGCTTATGAGCGGGTCATTAGGGATTTTATTTATCCAAGAATAAATTGTCATAATTTTCTGTGTGCAGCTTTTGTCATGGGCAAACATTCGCAGTCACTTGTAGAGTAGGATTCTCAGAGTTAGATCATAACTTGAAGGATGTATATAAACAATAGTGGATCATTGGTCAGGGAAATCTTTAAATTAATTAGTTAACGAGCTATAAGGGTGTTGGACTGCAATAAAGCTTTCAAGTAGATTAATGAGAGACACGCTATACATGTATCCTACCAAAAACATTTTTCATATCTATTTTTAGGAAGGATGTATTTATACATGTATTTACATATTATGTAAAGTTAACTTACATGAATTGACTCATTAGGTGTTGTTTTTAATCTACTACTCTAAAATACTGAACTTAAGCTGGTGGGCTCACGCTTGACTTACTATCATCTGTGGAATGTTTTGGTGTAGACTGAGCAGAACACACGTCATCCCACTCTTCATCTGTCACAATCAAGTCTTGATATGCCTTATGGAACTCCTTGTATGGGCATAACTCTGACTTACAATCTGCATCAATCATACATGTTTATGACTAGATAAATTAAAAGATCACAAGTAAAGAAGGTGTGGGGGGAGGCAGGGGGTGACAATACTTATTGGACATTTTTTTAATCTTATGTTTTGTTAGATGACCCCAAAAGACTTTAAAAAATGTATCAGTGAGCTGGAACAGCACTTTTACTCCCTATTTTGAACTTTTCTGAGATATCAAACACAAACTTAACTGAAGGAATCTGGTTTTGTTAAATTTGTTAAAATCATATTTTTTGCTAAACATAATTATATTTTTAAACTGTTAAACTCAAACATTTTTTCCAGATTAATTTTGCCCATTTGTTAAATGATTTATAATTAATAAACATTTATTTTCTCCATCGCTTAACCTAATGAGAGACAGCACTTACATTTGACCAAGAAGGTAATGAGTGGTTCATCTTTAGTGTTCCTATACAAGAATTTCACAAAGTAGTTTCCTTGCATCCTGTGCAGCTCTGCTATGAGAGCCCCTGTGTAAGGTACCTCCAACCTGTCATCAACTCCCAACAAGGCCTTAGTGAATCTAACAGGTGACTCATGCTGTGATAGAGTTATTTGATTATGAATACAAGGAACACATTTTACAACAAAATTCAAGGTACATAATTGAAATTTTAGAATGTTTCACTATATTTTGTAGCCAAGGTTTTTGCTATATTACCTGTCCTTTTATTCAATTAAAAATTTTAAAATAAAACTTCACCCTTCTTGTATGAAATTATGTTTGTGTCTTTAATCCACTAAAGCATTAAGGTTCCAGTGCAAAAAATTATTTCACTAACAAATCTGGAAAATTTTAACTCTATTAAAATAATGAAAGTTCCAGAGTAAAGAAACTAATTAAATTTGTGTTTAGTTTAAGTGATGCTTACTAATTTATCAATTATTTAATGTTATTAAATTTTGGACAGTCTGTGTGAATGTAGTTGGACAGTCGATCCGGAAATACCTACAGCAGAAAACATAATCAATTTGTGAGAATCTGAGGAGCTGCTCATTTTGTTTTCCATGTTCCTGATCAGTGTTTGAAACAAAGTACCTAACAGGAGAAAATATACATTATTAAAATTCTCTCATATCAATAAAAAAAAGTTAAACAAAGTGTGAGAGATGAAACACTTCTGAATGGTTTTAGTAAACCAGGAATATTACTATCCCACTTAACTTATGGGAACCATAACATCTGATGCAGCTACATAATGTCTGAGCCCAACAAAAATTGGTTACAAATGTAGAAGACAAATATACTCCCACCTGCTTAAATAAATCAGATGCTATGAAGAGGCAAAAACAACATAACATATTTTAAATGGTCTATTAGCCTGGATCACATTTTTGACTAATTTCCACAAAACAAATTTTCTTGAATTTTGGAGCATGTGAATTCTTGGTGGCTTTACAGTATTTATTGCTTACATAACCATGACAGAACTTCATTTGTACCTCAAAAATAAGCTGTATTCATGTTAGAGACTGCAGCTTGGCTCATTAATAGCTCAATTAGATATTCAAAAAACCCGTGGGCAACAATGCTCGTTGCAACAAAGAGCGGCCCAATGGCCAAGGCAGATACTTCTCTGTACAAAATTAACGCACACATAAAAAAATGATTGTCTTAACTTTAAAATTAAAAATTGATTAAGTTACTGTCAGAACATCAAGCTGAAGTAAACCAAAAATTTTTTAACTTAATCCCAATAGAATGAAAAGTTTAAAATTATTATAAAATAAATAAATAACAAAATTAACATTCTTAGTCCAATATAAAAATGCACCCAACAAAAAATCCATGCTAAAATCAGAATGATTTATGTAATGTGAACTGATAGGTAATCACTTTGCAAAGACAAGGCCCACTTTACCAACTCAAACTTTTCTTGAGGTCATACCATTATAAAAATCATTCCATAATACAACTTTCACTGGGGATTTTAACATCAGTTGTTGTTTTTTTTAAGCCAAGAGGTAATTCCCAAAAAATTTTGAGTTAAGTTTCTAGTTGCTCATTACCCCCTGTAACACTTCAAATCTTCTTACATTGACTATGGGGAACATTCCAGAGGCATTCTTTTAATTAAAACAGAATTATTCATTTTTTTTCATCCCACCTGCTAAATACTTTGCATCCTCTGGGCTGACCAATTCTTGATGTGACTTGTAATTGAATAACTCAGTTTCAATCTCTGGACTCAGCCACTCTGGTTGTTTCATGTCATGATTTTTCTAACCAATGTTTGTATACAAAAATGTATTATTCAGTAACAATCATTTAAATATTTAACTGTTATTGCAGTCAACGCTTTGTCTATGCATAATAACATAAAGTTTTCAGGAATGTTACTGTTTACTACCCTGATGAAATTCTAAAAATGCCAAATGATTTATGACACTTCTTATTGCTTCATACATACTTCAAATTTAACACCAACTTTGATGACTTTTCATGATGATAATTTAAGGTTGCTCTTTATTTCCCCCATTTTTTTTTCTGAGCACTTTCATTTTATTCCCAAGTCTTAAGCATTGAACATTTGTTACCTGACAGAAAATCACATCAGCCAAATCATGTAACGTTGTAATGTTTATATCCATTCCTGTGCTTCGACTCAGGTTCAGCATTAGTTCCTGAAATATCAAAGGGAAAGGCACATAATTACAATAACCATTCCATATTCTCTCACAGTTCATGACTAACTTTGTCAACAGAGATTTTCTCTTCACTCAAATATAGATGCCCAGAAAAGAGACAGCCTCACTCTATAGATAAGGAATCTAATCCACCTTTAACCCTTCATATCCACATAACCTTTAACCCTTCATATCCACATAACCTTTAACCCTTCATATCCACATAACCTTTAACCCTTCCCATCCACATAACCTTTAACCCTTCACTCCCCATAACCTTTAACCCTTCCCGTCCACATAACCTTTAACCCTTCCCATCCACACAACCTTTAACCCTTCCTATCCATATAACCTTTAACCCTTCCTATCCAATAACCTTTAACCCTTCCCATCCACATAACCTTTAACCCTTCCCATCCACATAACCTTTAACCCTTCCTATCCACATACCTTTTAACCCTTCCCATCCACACAACCTTATAACCCCTCCCATCCCCACAACCTCTAACCCCTCCCATCCCCACAACCTCTAACCCTTCCCATCCACACAACCTCTAACCCTTCTCATCCACACAACCTTTAACCCTTCCCATCCACTTTACCTTTAACTATTCCCATCCACATAACCTTTAACCATTTCCCATCCACATAACCTTTAACCCATTCTATCCACATAACCTTTAACCCTTCCCATCCCCATAACCTTTAACCCTTCCCATCAATATAACCTTCAACCCTTCGGATAAACATAAACCTAATGCCCTTCTCGCCAATCAACACACAATCAATGACATAATCAACGCCCTTCTCGCCAATCAACACACAATCAATTCCCTAATCAATGTCCTTCTTGCCAATCAACATACACTCAATGCCCTAATCATTCTATCTTTCGGGACGTCTCATTATCTTTAACAAAGAAACATTTAAGTTTAATTTATGTTTAATTAACACCACACCCATTTTTTTCCAATGTATTTGAGAGAATAGTTTTCATGCTAAAAACCAGTTCATCAGTGATCTGTTGTCAGATTTACCTTCTCAAACATCATGAGTCTGCTGGAGGCAAAAGAAGCTTTAATTGCAGATCTTAAATCTTTCACATACTGACAGCTGGATGAGGGGCGCAAGAGCTAAAGCCAAGAAAAAGGAACAATCTTAGCAATAAGATTTAAAACAGAAGAAAAAAAAAAACATCACCACCATACTCAAATATTATTTCAGGGTCTAATTAAAGCTTAAAAAGGTTTCTCTTTTTAGATTACTGTTTAAAAACAACATCAGGTGAAAGCAGAATAACCTTATGAACAAACATGGGATAAATATATCTTATTATTATACTCTAAAATTGGCTATTTCAATTCTAGAGCTTGTCACAGGGGTTCTTAAATAGGGGTGTCCTCAACCATTGGTGATGGAGGGGAGGCAGTGTCAGAAGATGTGGCAAGACCCAGAACAATCAGGTTTATTTGCATTTTTAATAGCATTTTTGATTGTGGGTTTTGCTAGAAATGTTTTGAAATCAAGAGGGGATGTGTGCTGTGCTCCACACAGGTTAAGAATCCCTGGTTCATCAGATACATTTTTATGCTAGAACAGCGTTTCCTTAACTTTTTTTCTGTGGCCTGATTATTTTTATACAGATATTAATTTCGATACCAAAAAGAAAAATAAACTCTGTTTTTTACATTTTCTGTGAGACTTTGAATTCCCAAGGAAGCATAATCATATTATGAATTGGTGGAAATGGAATGCAATTCCCTTTACTGTGGTATCAACAATAAAATTTTATGAAACTATATTATAAAAATGTAAATGTTTTATTAAAGTGAAGCTATGTGTTTCTTAAATAAATTATTTTTAATGGCCATTAGGTTGCACTTATATCCCGTTAGTTCAGGGGTCTCAAACTTGCGGCACGATATTTTGCGGCCAACTACATAAAAGCAAAGGCTATTGTTATTGCGGCCCCCACGTTTTCCCCATTCTCATATCTATAATGTGATCCTCCGTGATGGTTTCAGTAGAATCTCATGGACTAGTCTAATTCTGATTTAAATGATGTTTGTATAGATTTGGACGTTGATTATAATGGTAAAAACCATTTTAAACTCGGACTAAAAGCTTTTATTTTATAGCATTTAATGAGACAAACACGGCCAAAGTGCGGATTTGAGAAAAGATTTAAAAGTCAGTTAGTGGGTAATGCACAACTATAATTGTGTAAATCGTAGCAATCTGACACAGTATCAAAGAATCAAAATTAAAATTGCTGCTAGTGTTTATGGGTGAGGGAAATTCCGAGCCTGTCAGCTTGGTCACTTTCAAAATAGGGTTAGTCAAAAAAGTTTTTTCTACGATAAAAAATCAAAATTCATTCTTTCTACAACACCATCTTCCTTCACATCAATAATTCATAATATTGCCTGCTCCTGCCTACTGTTTGAACACGTTTTAGCCTTGAAAGCCTTCATGGAGAAGGATGAGGTGGTTGTTTCTGTACTAAGTGATTCCAAATGGCTCATGGACTTTTCTTGGTGACATTACACAGGAGCTGAATTTACTCAACAAGTAGTTAAAGTAGCTTGTCAGTGTTGCCTATGACAATGTCAGGGCTTTCATTTGGCACAAAACTTGTGTTATGGTTCTTAGAGAAACCTCTGCTATTTCCTAACATGCAAAGTGCTCATGGACTTGGGCACACCATTCAGTAGTAAGTATACTGATGCCATTGCAAAGCTACAGGAAGAATTTGATCACGTATTTTTAGACACAGAGACACTTTTTGCTGACCCTTCTTCCTTTAAGTTGGAAGATACCCCCCTGCGCTTCAAATGGAGCTGATTGATCTTCAGTGCAATTCTTGGTTCAGGAAGGTGAATGGAAAAACAGGCAAGCATGAAGGATTGATGAGAACATTGTCCTCTGAACCTTCCCTAAGATTTCCAGGTTGTTCAAGCGTATCATGTGCCTTTTTTGGGAGTACCTATCTGTGTGAAAAGCTCTTTTCCACTATGAACTTTAACAAGTCAAAGCTCAGGGCCAAACTTACTGATGAGCACCTTCAGCGGCGCGAATGGTGCATGTTATACGCCTGTGCATGTTATACGCCAATAAATACAGTAAGTCAAACTAAAACATAAGTAATTTATTAAATAGATATGTGATGCTTTTCTTTTCAACAAAAAAAAAAAATAGTTAATGAGGAAAAAAGGTCATTTTTATTCTTAGATCTTGTACTTCCATTTGGTTCCTGTATTTAGGAAAACCTGTGTTGAAAGCCTGCATAATGACAAAAGCCACTCCTTTTCTACTAAAACTAGGTGTTCCTGATGAAAACACACCCTACAATCGGTCTGTGGTATTTCGTCAACGGTCAAAGATGTCTTTAAAAATCTGCCTTTAGCACACACCATAGAATAAACTGGACATTTAATAAGGATATTATCATGGAATTAATTCATTATTGTTAACTGGACAAAGTTTAATTTATAAATTATGACTATTATAATCACCTTGTCCATCTTTTCTGGGACTGAATGCACTGGAATAGGCTGCCACAGGCCTAAGGGCCAATCTTCACTACTGATATTGAGAGGAAAGAGTCCTGCTGCAACACATTCTGCTGTCATTAATGTACGATCATAATCTGTGCTTCTGTAATGCATCTAGGAATGACATATTTAGCAAAGAAATTTGAAAAAAAAAAAAAAAATTAAATTGAGAAAAAAAAAATATACCAATTTTATATTTAATTTATATATAAAAAATTATCTGCTGTCATTAATGTACGATCATAATCTGGGCTTCTGTAATGCATATAGGAATGACGTATTTAGCAAAAAAATTTGAAAAAAAAAAAAAAAATTAAATTGAGAAAAAAAAACTATGCCAGATTTATATTTAATTTATCTATAAAAAATTTGAACTATACTAATATGGCTTTCAGATCTGAAGGTGCCAATCATACAAACAAATTTATATGATGTAGTAAAAACTATATTTATGTTCATTAAAATGCAACATGTGAACAAAGTGGGTTTGGAAAAACAGTTTTTAAATAAAGAGATACTTTTCTTGTTTTGCAATTATATTTAGATACAAATTTTTCCATTTTCATTTAATCAATTTTACCTGGGAATGATTAAATCTGTTGCCAAGGAAAGCTTCATATCTCTGCAGTAAAAACTGGCCAAGTTTATAGGCGCTAAGCATTCCTTTCTGTAAAAATATAAAGTTTTACTCATAAATAATTTAAATGAACCTAAAAGATATTTAACTTTTAAAATACATCAGATTTATCTAAAATAATTGCTTTGATTTTTCAGTTGTTTTTTATTTAAATCTAAATTATATATATACATTTTTTTTTTCACAAATATGTATCACAACTAAGTGACCATGGATTTCAATCTTAGAGATAGTCATCTATTTTTGGAAATGACCTAAAACTTCCATCACCAAAAAAAGGAATAATTACATCAGCAAAGCATGTATCAATGAAGAGATTGTATAGATAATACTTATAAAAGGGTTGGTAACATCTATAGATAATACTGGATGTTTATTATTTTATATATAAATAATACCATATATTTATTATTTTTATAAATAGATATGGTATCATATGCTCATTATTGCTTAAAGTCTTTTATTTATTAAATAATAGTAAAAAAAAAAATTTGGTTTAATTTTTTTTTTAAATATGATAAAAATAACATTATTATCATTTACTAAATACAAACAACCAGTTATTGCTGTCAAAACATCCTTAGTTAATTATTTGACGTATCAAAATTAATATTTCTTTACACATTGCATAGTCCTAATCTAAAACAAAAATCTAGGGAGAAAATGAGGGAGATATTGAAGTTAACATCTCAAATTCCAGGATAAGGTGTATATAATGTTTAACATGTTTAAGAGAAATGGGCTGTTAACAGACCTTCAACAGTTGATGCTTGCATAACTTTCACAATTGTAACTACATTTTCTTTTGTAACCCAGATGTTATCTCCACCAACCTTTCTTTTCTCATTTGGAAACCCATCGATTGTATGTGCAATTCGTAATGCTAAACTAAAAATTAAGGTCATGATAAACTAGTAAAGAGAAAATACTGCATTAAATAATGCAAAGCCATTTTCAAACAAAAAAATTTGCAAAACAATGTTGGCTTTACAATTGATGGAATTATGCCATTAAAATACTAAACTGGCAAATTTTGTGCTTTAATAAATGAAAAGATGGGGTGTAGTATATCATTGCACTATTTATATATCTATTCACCTTGCACTATGCCGTAAACTGATCAGCTTGTTGGATATCTAAAAAGTGCATGGCTCATTTTTGTGTGACACACACGTTCAAGTCAAAATGCATAAGGGATACCAGCAAAAATTGATAATGTAAAAGAAACATATATTTTACTTACTGTAGTTAGTTGTCCCAGACCCTGAGGCCATCTGTCTTTATTAGGATCTTTGGGGTAGGTATGCACTGGGCCACGATCTCCATGGCGGTGAACCTTTTAAAATAAAATAAAATCTATTTTTTATTATTATTATCATAATTATTAGATGGTTTTATAAAGCGCAGTACCCCAGCCTAGGGCTAGACTCACTGCGCTTCACATAAAAATTAGCAATTACAGAAACATTTACATTTAAAAACAACAATTGGTGAAAAGCTTGACCTCACCCACCCAAGTACTTGTTGGAAATTGACAAAATGCTGAATGCTAATTGCGCATTGTTTTGCACACCACATTTTTATTGTGTAGTGACGTCATGTTTTTATTCTGTCTTGTCGAGTGCTCCATGTTGATTGGACTCCATGTTGTTCTCCTACAATAAAACGTTGAACTAACCTTGATGGTTGCCTATGCTTGTTTGATTATCTTCCCTGTGAAGTACCTTAGCAACTTAATATTTTTCAACAGTACTATCTACCCCTGTCTAGCCATGGACAGCACCCAGCAGAATCAAGCGCTTTTTATATAGTTCATGCTCACAAAATGCTCTGATGTGTTAGTGTTTTATGTTAATTACGAGTGCATTTGTACAATGTTTATTGGCCTTGGGGATTATTTTAAGATTGTGATTTGGTTTTTAAAACTTTGATATCCCACCACTGGGTGCATGTATACAAAAGTGTTGTACATAATGTTTGCACTATGAATATATAGTGAGCAATATCTCAAGTTACATAAAGATAATATTTTATTTTATTTATCTTGGGCATGAAAATTGCAAAAATGTGGTCAATAAGCATTATTATTATTTCTAATGTATGTGCATCTTTAAAAGGTTTCCTTAGTTAATAAGTCAGAAGCTTTTTTGTAGCAACTGAGAAAAAAACATTCTGCATTTTTTTTCTTTCACATTGATACATTTATCTGGCCATTGGGAAAACTGTTTATGTTTCAATAAATGAAAAAGCACTAAATGATGTAAGTCCAAATGTCATACTGAAAATAATGGGGTATGCCTCTATTTAATAGCACATAGTTAAATACTACTTGAGGATAAAATACTTTTTTCCATTTAACATACTTGAGCTATTTCCAGCTCATTAATTTATTTGTATACATTTTTTAAAAATGGTGTAACTAACCATATAATCTATAAATAGATTTTAAAAATTTCATTTTTGAAAAAAGGTATACTCACAACTTGCACTAGCACAAGGGTTGAAGTGGAGGGATTTTCTTCTTCAGCCCTATTCCTCTTGGATAATAAAAGACTACGATCATTATTGTTTGAGACAATGTCATTGTCATCGTTTATGACTGATGAATAAAACGTCCTATTTCCTTTCCCTGCTTCATAAATAAGCTTTCCATTGACAAAATCACCAAGTGTGGACAATACTATGAATAAAACTACCACTACATTTTTAAATCTTTTTACCCTATCTGAACTTGACTGTATTGATAAATGCATAGTTCACTGAAACTAAGATAAAGATTTTTCCATCCATTACTTCATTAAATATGACATACTGCAGCAAGTTCCAAGAGAATCCTGTGGGAATAAGAATTAAGCTTTGAGAAAAGTCAATAATTGTATAATTTTTTTACTTCATACTTAAGTGTCTCAGTTAAATAATTGCTAAATCATTACTAACTTTATGGACTTCCATGTCTAATTGACATGCTGTACTGTGACATACTATGACTATAGTTATAGGTACTTTGATTTTGATGAAATTTCAAAAAGATTTCTAAAATATAAATGCAGTTCAGTTGAATAGAGCCAAGTGAATGGTTTACGAAACACCAAGCTCATCTTTCCAGCTCAAGTAGTTCAACTGCTATGATGTTTTGGTCCACTTTTAAAGTTTTCGTCCACATTTTGTTAAACAATTTTTGGCTTATCCTTTTTACCCATATTTCTTGCATATTTCTCAATATAAAAATTTCATATTTACAGTATTTGTTGATAATATTATATATAAAGGAAAGTATATGATAATATAATATGCTTCAGAATAACATTTTCTTATTGAAATAACTTTAATAAAATGTTAAGTTCCTATTTTTTTCATTGTTAATATTAATTCAATAAACTGCACATTTTTGGAGGGATAAATAATCATTACTTATACTTATTAAATTTTAAAGATACAAAGTTCAAATTTGGTGTGGTGTCGCAACTAAACAATTTAAGTTGATATTACATTTTAAGACTGTGCCAGGAATTGTATTTCACCTGCAATAATACTAATTAATACACTATTAATATTATTATTAATATATTAAAATTATTTGGTTTAATTAATAATAATGTCTTGTGTCTTGTGTAATTCTTTGAATTAATGATAATGAATGGGTTGTATTAGTAGTAATTTTATTTTGAGGTGAGTGACATTTTTTGGAAATAAATAGATACATGTTACATGTCAATAACAATATCATATTTAGTTATAAATTATCAGTTATCATCGTCATCATCCACATCAATCAGTCAAATCATTTTGTCTCTGATTAGTAATTAGTCTGATAGTGATAGTGTTCATTGTTAGGTAGGCCTACAAGTACAAGTACAAGCCTACAATTACCATACAAATTATTCAAATACTACAATAAATATTTAATAATAGTTTAATTAACATTGACCTTAGGCTTGGGCCCATGACTATGCCTCTAACTATACTATCTACCGTATACTCCCATGCCCATTTGTTACATGCATTGTCATTGTGTGTTTCACAGTCTGTATTGGTTGAAAATTAATAATAAATGGAGCGTTCATGGACAACACAAAAAATAAGTAAGAAGGCACTGAGCAAGGCTAAATTTAGTACACATAAATAGTATTAATGTGTATGTAAATTGGTAAAAGTGCAGTGTTTATTTGTTGTTGCTATAGCCACTAAATCACTAAAGGTTTTGAAGGAAAAAATATAATGCACTTGCCACAGTCGCTTCTCCCGAGTTGAGTTCTCCTCTCAAGCAGGGCTGCCACTCACTTTTTTCAAATTTCCCAAGATGTGGTGAACAAATTTCCCAAGATTTCCCAAGATCATACAAATATATAAGAGTTGTTTTTTTTAAAGGGGGGTTTTCTATGTAATTAATGTAATAATAGATTGAATCAATGCCCCTGAAAAACATGGTATATTAATGGACTGAAATTTATTGAAAAAGACATTTAAAACATGTTTATCACATTTAAAAAAAAACAATTTGTTTTTAAAAAAAATAATTTATAATCCAAAATATCAATACCCACTGGAGTTAGGCTACTAAATATTACCTCAGAATTCTCTGATAAAAATATAATCTACAATACATGTGTAATAGAAGTCACTTGGAAAAAAAAAGCATACAAGGCTAATCAACACAGAATTCCTTTTACAAAGGCAAAAGTTTCTTCATCAAAAAATGATTTTTTATTATTGTAAATCTGTTGATTACAAGTGGGGTTTGCAAAGCAATTAAGCAAAATTTATTAATAATAATTGTAGTTAAAATGGATTGATATTACGATGAAAACAATAAGTGTTTTATTTTTTCTTGTAAAATTTACATTATAACGATTTTTTCACCAAAAAAAAATAATATGGAATTGTTCATTTATAATCCTACAACGTAGGATTATACTGCCTATACTGCCTATACTATTAATATCTTAGTTACCCGTGTTTCAATCCACAAATATTTTTTCTAATTGATGAAAATTAGGCTGGATTTTTTACAGATGCATTATATTTTGAACACATTGTAGAAGTAATTGAAATAATAAAATTCTACTATGGCATGGATTCTTGATTGAACACTATCGTTCACTCTTTGGCTTGTACTGTTTTTCGTATGGTTGCTAATGTCTAAGAGCATAATGATAAAGTTTCCGAGCCTACCCCCCCCCCCCTTTAATAAACATTCAAAACCTGGATGTAATTTGTAAATCTTCAATTTTTTTTTTTTAAAAGAAAATTGAATTTTTTTTTAAAATTATTAACTTTTTAATAATTCGCAATATTAACTTTAAAATCAGAAGAGTTTTTATTTATTTTATGAGTGGATTTAAAAATTAAAACCAGAAAAGAAAATGAAAACAATTAATTTTTTGCCTTGTTACTTTAAAAATTATTTTGCTTTATTTTTACTTTATTTTTTATCAGATATTGTTGCGTTTTTTTCGAAAAATATAACAAAATTTTCCCCCCAGTTAAGATTTCCCAAGGTTTTGCATGATTTTCAAAATTATTCCCCAGATCCCAAGGGGGGTCGTGAATTCCCAAGATCTTGGGAAATTTCCCAAGGTGTGGTAGCCCTGCTCTCAAGTAATCCAGTGCTGTAGAGCAGTGGTTCCCAAACTTTTATGTTTGGCAGACCGGTGAACAAGTTTCGAAATTTTACCAGGGACCGGTGCATGATTTATTTTTATACTTTTATTTCTATTTGACAATGAATATTTATGTTATGGGGACCGGGAGCGCTAGGCATGCGTACCGGTGAAGGTCCACGGACCGCCATTGGGGACCACTGCTGTAGAGTGTCGTCGTCTTCTCCACCGAGATCTGGGGTTTAATATGACGTCGTTCCGAAATATTATTAATTCGGAGTGATTATTCCCAGAGCTGTGCGGATAACGCCCGCCGTTATTCGAAGATTTCGGTATGCCGATAACGCTCGGTAGTATTCGCGAATGGTCGCGTAATTTCCGTCTAAGTGACGGATAAAGAAATATAAAGAGATATATAAAGAATATATAATAATAAAGAATATTTCATTACTTCGCAGGCCGCAAAGTAGGTCCTGGCGGGCCGTGCCGTATGCGCCCCGAGGGCCATGCCGTACGTTATGCAGGCCTGCTATAGAAAATAGATTATGATTATCAAACCTGGACTACTTTATTTATTTTGTCAATAAATTGAACAATGTTTAAAGCTTAAAAATATTAAAATTTAAAAGATTAAAGATACAAAGTATAATGAAGGAGGGTGGTTTAAATTTATTTTTGAATGGCTAAATTAAAAAAAAATCTTTTAAAATATCATTTGAGACTATTCCCTTCCCAATGTTCTGTGGGTCAAATTTCCTCTCCACAACACAAGCACGACTCTTTACTCTTTCGGCCTGCACAAGTTGTTTTTTTTTAGTTTTTTTTTTTTTAAAAGTATAACGGCCAACCTTACATTTTGAGCTGAGCAGGCCTGTTCTCTAGTATAGGCATACCTTTTTTGCAGTTACGCATTTTCCCAAGTCCAAAGTCTCTGTGTGATCAGTGTACATAATTTTCCAAGAACTATCCATGCATTACTAGCAATGATTTTGAACAATTTTGTCCATGTCTGTATCAATATCGAACATTTGTGAAAATTAATGTTGAAAAGTATAGTCTGTTTGTAAGGGTTGCAATTCCGGTCCCTTTTACCATAATACCAGTATGTTCGATATTGAAGTTTTACGATACCGGAATCTCGATATATCAATATTTAAAAAAAAAATAATTTTTGTTGGGGTTCGAGTTGACGATTCATACATGAAATAAGGACATTCAGAAAAATAAATAAATCAGATTTTGATTTTTTAATACGCTTTTAATAACAGCACAAATGTCTAACGTCAGACATTGATAAAACGAACAAAAATAATATTCTTAACTTGTTAATTTAAATACGTTTATTAATCCACTATTAAAATAATTTGTGTTGTTTTAATCTTCGGTCCAATTAAATAATGAGATCGTAAAAATGACAACGTATCTATTGTTTGATCGCTTAATTAATTGTGTCCACAAATGGTTATACAAGTAACCTGATGACGAAAATACCCACCCAGACTCCACACTGGTCGGAGGAACAGGCTATTTATCACATACACTTTCTAGATATTTTTCTCTTGAACCGCCATTCTCAAATAAAGCAATCTCTATTTTTTACCAATGTATCAATGTCTCTATCAGTTGATCTGGAAGTATTATCCTAAGCCTGAAGTTTCGTTTGTATTTTAATTTCTAATTGTCTCTTAGAAATGCCTCCAAATAGTCATTTCACGAATCATATTGTCATATGTTAATACAAGTATTTCAGTGTTGAAGCTGACAAAAATCTGCGCTCTTTAATCTCGTGCTTCAGAGAAGCAACAAGTTCACGTGCAGCTTCTTCATGATAACTGTCTTTCAAAATCGTCTTGAGATTTTGCAAGATCGATTTTTAAATGAATAAGCGCTTCCTAACATGTCTACTAAACCATTCCACTTTGTGCTGCAATCTAAAATCAAATTAAGCTCACGAACAATTTATTATGTTACATATTTGTGAATAATCGTATTTTTGGAGGGCGAATTTGGTAGGGGGCTCTCCTGGCAAAGAGACATCTCCAAAGTGCCGCTTCGCGGCCCGATACCGGGCTTAAAGGGGGAGGGGGTGCTTTTGGGAGGGTATAAAGAGCATTAGCTCGACGGCCCGCTGACGCCATTTCTTAATGTGACATGTCAGTAGGCGAATTTATGAAAATGTTTGCATTTTTTTCGCATTCTCCCGATTAAATCTTTGAAATCAAACTCTTTATTTTCATTGATCTCAACTGTAACAGGAAAACCACTGTTATCATTATCATCCTCACGGTCAGAATCATTTTCTTCTTCAGGTTGACGTTGTTCAGCTTGAAGTGTGTTTTTGTGTTGTTGTTTTTTTAAATAAAGGACGTCTAAGATTACCAGCTGTACACCGTGAGCAAGGCACTGTTGATGGTAAAAGCGCTGCCTCACGTACTAATACGATCATCACACTGGCACTGTCAGTAGATATGCAGACTATATCATCTTTTAATAACAATTTAAAATTGGATAGCCTGTTTTCCAACAGTTGCAAACATTTTCTGTCCATCATGCCAACTATCACTCTTACTGGATCAATATTGATAAACTCATTGGTTAACATATGACTATGAATATCTACGTTCATAAAGCGACGATTTCGTCCACTCATCCAGTGTCAGAGAGAGCTTAACTCTTTCTTCTTTCAGTTTATTAATCAAGGAGGTTTTAGCAGTCTCACTTTGATTGCTTCATGGTTCATCATTGATCATTAGAAATAATGAAAAAACTGAATGGAAGATCTTCTAAAGCTGTCATAACAGAAACTTTCTGCAAAGCTGTTGTAACTTGAAAATTGTGTTGATTTACTTTTTTTTTTCTTGGTGTTTCATACACAGATCTAGTCCGTCGGTCGTCTCTCTTCGACCTCGAGACTCGTGGTGTGAGGGGTTCGCACTTAGTACACCAAGTAAATTATTGATATGTCTTGCTTTAACTAAGACAAGGAAATCAAGAAAAGCGATATTACTCTTTTGAAAATGAAATCCCGGTTTTCATAAATCCAATCCCGTTTTCTTCAAACATCCGTTATAATTCGGTATCCTGGTATTTTCGAAAGTCGGGATCCCGGGTTGCGACCCCTAGTTTTGTGTCTCCTTGGTAAATAAGAAAACATCCACATATTATTATATTATAGGCCTAAAGCTGTATATTATGTCAAAAGGTTTTGTGTGTATGATGGCCTAAAGATAAAGCTTTATATATATATATATAATTTCCCTTCCACATACCCCTTGACGTATGTAGGCCTATACCATGGACTACTAACTACTAACATGTGCCTTGGGCTTTTGTTAGCGAGGAAATTTGATGCCATCATATAAGACACCTTACTTAAAACTAACTAACCTTATATTATATTACAGTTTGTACTTAGAATATTTTGTATACTTCTATTAGCAGGATTGAGATGATTCAAATCAACCATTAAAATATAAAATTCTGATTTTAATTTTATTATTTATCTAATCTATTTATATTTAAGGCACTTGCTAAAAAGAACGTCTGATTATTAGTTCAATAATATGTTACTTCTTATGTATAATTATGATTGAACAATTTTATAATGTTTAATTTCAGTTTTAGCTTTACATAATTAAAATTTTCAGTTTTTAGAACCTAGAAATCGTTTGGGGACTGAGAAAGCTTGAAAATTTGTTGTTCTATTCAAATTATTTAATCAGAAGACGTTGGTGGAATCAAACGAGATCGACAGATGAAATATTATTATGCCATTGATAATTTGAAAGTATGAAATTGAACACAAATTCTTATTCATCTAGATTAGATAGAGAATATAATATTAAGACTTTGTCTAATTCTAGTTTTTAAAACATTTTTGTTTTAGTTAATTATTGGATATTTCATAAGCATATTTATTTGAATAATAACGAGAAATTTCAGTTTGGGAAAAAGAATGATAACCCAATTAAATGGATTTTTAAAATTAATTTTAAAATTAATTTTTGAATATTATTTTACTTAAATTTAAGTAAGTAATGTCAAAATCAAATTTAAATCGAAAAGATTGGTTTAAATAAAATTTATTACATTACGTTTAATCTTTAGCCTATAAAATTTAATATCTAAGGAAATCCTAAAATAAAATTAAAAAAAATATATATTTACGATTCTGTTTTAAAATTTAAAAAAGCAATTTAAATCCAAAATATTGATTTAAATACTATTAAAAATATTATGTAAAACCTCTAAACATCACTATTCTTCAAAATCTAATCAAGTTCTTTAAAAAATATAAGAAAATCAATTTAATTCTTAAAAATCATATTTAAATAGAATTCCCTTTGAAAAAAAGTCATTATTGTTATCAACCCCGTCTATCAATCACTACTGCGTGCTGCTAAACTTTAAATCAAATTAATTATGGGGGATATTATTATTACTTCATTAATTAGATAAGAGAATCCGTGATGAGTGGGTCTGTGAAGGTATTCACATATTTATTTAGAACCCTGCTGACGACTGAACCCAAACCTTCACCGTCACTGAGTACGAATCAACCCGAACATTCTATGGCAAACTCATTTGAACCGTGAACCGACAGTTTTACCAGTGGTGCACATCACCACTTACAACAAGCAGGGCCGGCGCTAGGAGGGTGCGGGCCCTTGGGAAAATTGAATTTTGCGGGGCCGTTGACGCTATAGGCCTATATTCCGCCGATAGGATAGTAAGACACGTTTGACGTTAGAGTCGTAGTGGGGCCTTGCTGGTCATAATGGGACGCGTCATAACGGATATTTGTTCACTCGCTTAGTTTCCGAAATTTCTATTTTTTCCTATAACACTGCTCCATTGTTACCAATATCAAGGTTGTCAAAAACAAATAACGAAAACACGAAGCCTGACTATGGGAGTAATAAGGCGAGAGACTGCAATCAGGTTAGTACAAAATAAAATGATTAAAACAGAGTAGGGTTAATACCCATCTATACCCACCAACACCCTCCTCAGATTGGCTGAACTAGTCCTCACCCTCAATTCGTTTGAGTTTGGTGGCCAATTCTTCGACCAAATCAGTGGTGTTGCTATGGGGACTAAAATGGGACCCAGCTATGCTTGCTTGTTCATGGGGCATTTCGAACACTTGGTCGAAAGCAGCTATACTGGACGCCTCCCTGAATTCTATAAGAGGTACATAGATGATGGTATAGGGGTCACCACTATGGAGAGGAGTGAACTTGACCTGTTCATTAACTTTGTAGGCTCCTTTCACCCCTCCATTAAATTCACATCTCACATCTCTGAGACCTCAGTCAATTTCTTGGACATTACAGTCACTCTTCACAAAGACACCCTACACACCTCTGCCTACTTTAAGCCCACTGACAGTCACAGCTATCTACTCTACTCTTCATCCCACCCTAAATCCTGTAAGGACTCTATTCCTTTCTCTCAATTACTCCGTCTTCGTCGACTTTGTCGGTCGGATGAGGACTTTTGGGACAAGGCACTTGAAATGATAGACTTTTTCCGGTGTAGGTCTTACCCGGAGACAGTACTTTCATCAGCCCTCCAAAGGGTTAAGAATATTACACGTGCTGATGCCTTCAGACCACGTCTGAGCGACAAGGTTGACAGGACAAAACTCATTTTAACTTATCACCCTCACAGTCTGATTGCTAAACGTGTTTTCCTTAAACATCGATCTATACTAATCGCAGACACCGACACACGAGAAATTTTCTCTTCCCCACCTCTCATTGTTTTCAGACGGGATAAAAATCTGAGAGACCTCCTGGTCATCAGCTACCAATACCAATCTATCACCAACACCCGTTCGCACATAGAATTGATATTGTATTCATGTGTGGTACAAAATTAAACAACAACACTGTGTGACAAGACTTATTTTTCCTCCAGTGCCAGAAAATCGTTCAACACAAACAAAATTAGAAACCGGTTGGCATATTTATTTACCAATCAAATTGTTTACAGTTGATAACACATAGATGTGCAAGATGTGCGCGGGTGGAGAGGGGACAAAACGCCACAGTAGTATGATGATCCTACAAGCAGTGGCATAGGTAGGGGGATTCTCTTTTTCCTTATATAAAGGGGCGGAAGTTTTGATAAATGGCAGAGGTTTCTATCGTAAAATGGGGCGGCAAAAATCTTGGCCTGCCATGGGCGGCACTAACCATAGCTACGCCACAGCCTACAAGATAAACATTTACCAAACCCTGACGCCCCCCCCCCCCCCCCCCCGGTGTAACAAAAGTGAGGAAAGACATGATAGAAATTGTGTGCCTTTGAAAGCATTTATATTTAATGTAACTTGTTCGCACCCTCTTTTAAATAGGCATAAACATAAAACCGAAAGAAAGACATGTTTCCTTTGTTCATTAGATTTTAGCGACACGAGTTTATTTACATAAATCCCGGTGTACTATGATAGGTTAATAAAATTTACCAGACATTTATTTTGTGTGTATTTCTATATTAACCCATACGTTTATAATAAATGTAATTATTATATATTTATATTATAACAACTAATTTCAAATTACGTAACGCACATTGGTTGCCAAAACCAAGCTTTAGTTGTTACTGAAACTTCAAACCTTGTTGATGACTGAACCTGTTTTTCTAAAAGGGGGTTTGATTCCAGGAAACTTAAGTAGGAAGTTGTCAAAATGATGTCATATTAGTCATATGCTCTGTAATATCCATATTTTTTGCCCATAAATTCAAGTCTTGCTTAAGTTAATACAATATAAAGGAGTCTGAAATGGACACAAGATCAAGTCTATGACATTGAGCCAAGACCAAAGAGTATATTTTAAGATTTTTAAGTTAAATACAAGAGCAACATCTGAACCACACTTTAAAAAAGGTATCCATTTTCATTATGAGAAATCTTAGTTTTGATATTTCTAGTTCTATAATTTAGAAGATCTGTATTAAAAATATTCATACATTGCAAACAAAGAATCAATATTTGTTTACATTTTATTGTGCCACAAACAAGCGCTTTGAAGATTGCATGTACAACTACCACACTGCATATACGTTTATAAATTACATAAAAACAAACTTCTTTTGGAAAAAAAAACAACCCAAAATAAACTATAAACAAATTCATTATACTACAAATTGGAACATTGATGTATAAGTTTATAAGACTGAATTGTTTCTATATAAAGTGAGATATGCCAAACACTAGAGATAAGTGAAACTCAACAAAGTTTGCATTTGCAATCTATTTTGTTGTGCTATGATGAAAAGTATGCAAGGAAATTATTCATATAAGGTCAACAATTAATTTACTTCATACAAATGATGTAAAATTAATTGGGGGAAAGAGTTTGAGATGGAAAAACTTATGAAAGAAGTAGAACTGCAATTAATTTAATTACATAGATTTTTACAAAGACAACATTACAAGAGAAATTTATCCAAAAATAATGTTCCAGAGTCAAACACTAATTGAAAGAGTGTCAATCTTTATTGCAAAATTTTAAAAATGCTATTAATGACATTGCTGAAAATAAAATAGGTGGCAAAATTCACGTGTTGCTATAAACAGCAATGTTATACCAGGACTAAATTTTACCAAGGGCATGGAGTTAATTTTTCAGTAAATGTTTACACCCCCAAAAAAATTACATCTGACCACAGCATTCTTTGTTAAAGATTTAAAATTTGTAATGAAAATAATGTTTGAATCAGAATAATAATAATAAGTTAACAATACCAGTACTAAAACCTCTCCTAAATTTCATCAAAACACAACCAGATGCAGCCATGACTGCATAGATATTGAAATCAAATGACCTAGATAGAAAACTAAACACTGTAAAATGAACATAAAAATGTTAAGCTTAAGCATGAATCAAACATCCACATTTAAAAAGCAACAGTTATATAAGAGGGATCAAATCTCTACTGGTATATCTCGCTTTGCTATAGCTAAAGATGAGAAACATTGTTGCAATGGAAATAGTAAGCACCAGAGTTTTTATTGAAAAAAAGAGGGGTGGGGGAGTGTTGAACCAAAATGACATACTTATCACAAGAACACCACCATTTATTTTATATCACAATAAATTAACAGTGAGACTACAAAATGAAGATTGTTTTTTCCACAGCTTTTACAGTAACTTTTTTTCCACAGCTTTTACAGTAACTTGAAACAATGGGAATTATAAGGAAACAATGACACAAAATGATTTTTAAAAAAATTAGTGGTTATCTCATTATTTAAAGGGGACATAAGCCTTACTTCCAATAAGAAGGACATGCAAAGTTTATATTTATGTAGAGCTATTTATAATTTTTTTTCTCTTTTTACATGATTGTGTATGAAAGCTTCCCCTTGATGACTGTTCTTGATTTCAATAATTCGAAAGATGACGAAAATCTTTAAACTAAGACAAGAAATAAGATGTAAAAATAGAATAAGCTTATCATGTTCTACTTATTTCTTGTCTTCAGTTTGAAAGAAAGCACTGGGGTCAGATCAAGAGTCAGCACAGAAGAAGCTGTTAATTCCCAACACCGTTTTTTTTTAAAAAGCTTATGTACAAACAGCAAAAAAGATGGTTAGTAAATTCTTGCTGCATCTTCTTAGCAACATCAATCTCAGAATATTTCTCGACTGTTACATGTGTTGCTTCATTGATACACAACATGTAAAAGCGTAAAGGGGGCAACATTGTTAAATGTACATCAAAAATAACTTAATGCCAAAAACTTTACAAGAAACACATACTAGGAATATAAACAAGGAGGGATATGTAGTTTTAAACAAAACTTACATCCATTTTATTTATGTTAAAAATTAAATATTGCACATAAAAGCATGAACATATCTGCTCTCTGAAAGATTTTTTTTATATTCCCATTCCTAGATAAGAAGATTATTGAAAGTGGATCCAGTGCCATGTGAAAATCCCTTCCTTCTGCATCTAGTGGTGTACTGCAACATATACACGTGTTCTTTTTGTAGTTTCAAAAACCATATTGGAACATGTCGATATTGCATCATCAATAAAATTTGCCAATTGTTTTTTTTTTTGGACGTCTACGTCTTAAGTTTTTATTTTTTTTAAAATTGGCTGCATTGAACATTAAATGAAAACTACATGCTGCTATTTGCAATCACCTACACCAGAGGGAAGAAACTAACAAGAAACAGCTATTTTAAACATGTTTAAATATAAGCTTATGGAATGTCATTTATCGGCACTTAAGAGCTAAAACGTTATGTATATATGTTGCAGTCCACCAATCGCACTGAATTTGAGAAGTACTGATAACAGTTATGTACGGAAAGTAGTAAGCAGGGCTACATATTGCATTATAGCAGGAATATGGACATTTAAGGACATAAACAGTTAATGTCCATGAAAAGAGTAAAAAGAAAAGTCACTTTCTTAACTCAATTATTTTTCAGAAAAAAAGTTAGATAGGTTAAAACTATCACAATTTCTTTCCAAAACATTACTGAGACTTTTATGTCATTTAAAAATTGGTACTAAATCTCCTAGCAAATTACAATTAATTATAAACAGGCTTTGTACATAAGTGTAGAGAAATCCAATGTTTAACAGTTTTTCATTGATACAATAAAAGGATGAAGTGAAGATGGAGACACAAGCCTTAAGCGGAATGCTAGGTGAGGAAATGGTCTTGTTATGACCGACAGTTGATGATAACTATCTGTTCTCAACGGTTGGTCAGTTATCTTAAACTCAGTACTGAAAATAAACAATATTTAAATAGCTAGATTTTAGATGGGACAGTGATGCATTACTAGTAATATGATTAATACAATCCTAATAATTTATGGCTTTAACGAGGAAACTTTTTGTGTAATTGCCAGATATATATTCATCCCTAAACGATGTCCAGTATCATAATCATGTTATCATTTTGAAATAGCTGTATTAGTATTTTAAGTAATAAAAAGGGTCGACTGAGTTAAATAAAGTTTCCTGCTCCCTAAAACTTTACCTTTATTAGGTTTGTACTTGTAAAATTAAAGGAACTATACAAATATGTTATTACTTATGCAAAGTCTTTGACAGCAGCTGGTCCATTAACTGGGATACCACCACCTCCTCTAATTCCAGCGCTTTGGGCAGGTTGACCAGGGTGCTGTCCTGGGCGAATTGGTTTTGCTATTAAAAGAAATGAATAAAAACAATGTCAAGTTAAGTATTTATGGATTTAAAATAAAGCAAAGATATTCTATATATAAAACAAGAGTTAATATAAATACCTATTTGTGGAGCATGTCCTCTTCGTGCTAGATTCCTCTGCCTTACAGCTTCTTTGATTCTGTCTACCTCCAACTGATATCTGGTAAAAAATTAAAAATATGTTTCTTCCTTGAATTATTGTGTTACATCTTTTTAAAAAATGATTTTTTAACAATATTTTTTAAAAGAATTTAAAATTACCCATTAAATTAGATAGTTATTTTTTTTAAACATATGATATTTTTTTTTTTTACAAGCCTATAATTATTTGAAAATCTCATTAACATTATAGCCAAAATCTTAAGTACAGAGTGACATGAAATGTAGTTTGCATATGATATATAACTAAAAAGCAGAATTAAGGCTAAAAAGCCCACACATAAATTTACAATTCTAGGTTGAACTGAATAACTGTTATCTTCAATTAAATATAAAGATATAAATATTTTTTTAAAAAATCAAGCATAAAATACATTCAAATAAATCCACATCAAAATAAATTATACATTTAAAATTCTATGACCAAGTGCATAATGAAATCTCACCAGTCTTCAAAACAAAATTATGAAATAGTAAAATAAGTAAATTGAACATTTTAAAATATAAAAATATGGCCAAAAAAATAAATTTTTGGCCAGTTTAAATGCAGGGAACTTTTGATTGGTTAAAAATTAACATGCACTTTAGTTTGTTAAACTCAAGTTGCCACTAATTAAATTCTTCATTTGTAATAATACTTTTTCATGGAAATGTTGAGAATTATTAAATTGTTATAAAAATAAATTTTATATTAATCTACTCTAGGCCGAGCAACAATTTTTCTACTGAAAAATGGTGATGTAAACAAGGCGGTTAAAAAAAAAAGCAGTACAGTTGATAACATGGATTTAATTGTTATGCTAGATTTTTTTTGTCCACCTCACCACACCTTGTAATACCAATGTATTTTAGATGTGAAACAAATTTAAATAGCAAGTCCTTGAAAATGGCATTTGATCTATTAATAAAGGTTAGGTTGACAGTTATTCATTCCAACATTGCACAAGCAAACACAAATTCAAAGTATACAAACTTAATATTTTTGTATCAATACTACCCACTAAAAATTGCTTCATTTAATGAGGTTGGCCAAATGGCAAAGGTCCCAAACAGTTCTAACTTACTGATTCATGAAATTGCCCTCTCTCTTGCTTGGACAGAGTGTATTTGATATGTGATGCATAGGTTCCTGATTTTCTTTGTATTCCTCAGAATGACCATTCAATGGTGTGCTGGAGAAATCATGGTTGGTCCCATGAGTTCTAGACATGATTATACGGTGTAACAAGGAATGGGAATGACTCTTTTTAACAAACTTTACGCAGATTATAAATGAGCGCAAGTGTTGGTGAATTGTCATCATGTGCATTTTTTATATTTTCTTGATATTGATTACTCAGCACTGTTTTACCTAACTGTACTGCCTTTTTTAATGTTATCCGCCATGAATTTCTATTATCATAGTGAAAAAAATGTTTGAAATCTTCTTTTATTACATTTATAAAATTAGGATTCTGCTCATACTTTGAATTTAATGAGATAATAGTGCATTTCTGTAAAAACTAGGCACACCGCCATAGATAGAAATGTGAACAAAGCTTGATAAATGGATACAATTTCAAAAAGGCCTAGCCAAAATATTTGGAGTTCAATAAGAAGGTTAAAAAGAAAAAGCCCTAGACCTAGAATTTTAGTTCCTCTGTAATTTAAAATCAGTTACTTACTTTAAATCAATAGGATTTCCATCACCGCTAAACAAAAATATTAAGACGTTAAGTCTTTGCAAAACTTTCTCTTCCTTCAAAAAAATAAAAGAAGCCATGTCTTTGTATCTACAAACATAACCTAATAAATAATAGCAGTATCAAAAGAAACAGAAACAAAATGGCATTCAGAAATGCAACAAAGGAAAGCAAATCTGAGAACCTTACTTATTACATTACAGAACTAGACCTCATGCCACCTGATAAATGCATCATGCTGGGGAAAAATGCTTAGCAAAAACTGCTTTCAAACAATGAAATAATTACACAAACCTCTTGCGATCTCTCATAGCTCCCTCTTTAGCCTCTTTAAGTGCAGTTTCAAGAGATTTGACCCTGTCCATAGTCGCCCGAAGTCTTTTTTCTAGTTTAGGAAGTTCACAACGGAGATCAGCATTGTCTCGCACCAACTGAAATAACAGCAAATTATGATGCATAAATTATTGCGACTACTGTTCCATTGTATCTTTCTGTACTGTGCTGGCAATTTAGAGCTTTTGGGTGCCTTTGAAAAATGTGATTTTTCACATGCAAAACTATAGCTTGACCCCATAAAGTATATAATATATTTATCGAAATTAGACTGAGTGGGGAATCATAATGGCTTTTTTTCAATGTTATTTTAAACTCGCTGACCTCGGAGTGACCAAGAATAATGAAAATAATGAAAATAATGAAAGTTTTACTTTTCAAGTACCTTAAACTACAATTTTTTAAAGGCATATTATTATAATGTGTATATAATATGATATCATTTTTATTTATCGTTCAGAAAATGTGTTATTTGTATATGTTTTGGTTATTAATAGATACAAAAAATTTTTTCTTCTGATACCTGTAAACATGTTCAAGTGACAAAGCATGCCATAAACAATATAAACATTAATACATTGCCAGAAACTGATAAAATTTTTAAAAGCTGCTATATAAATATTTAATCCATAAAATGAAATATAAATAAACATATATTCATATAAACATACATCCAATTATTTTTTGTTGGTACAAAATCATCAGCAAAATAGTTTTGAACGAATCCTGTTGTTGGGACAACGCCTACTCGTTCTAGGCTTAGATAATCTGAGTCCGAAGTTTCGCTTTCTTACCCACTAGAAAAATAATCGGAATTTTCATTGTCTTCGAGTGTGATCGGAAAATCATCTTCCGAATCACTTAACTAAAAAGTTGTCAAAAAGATTCCAAACTGATTTATTTGTAAGCCAGATGGTTAAGCTGTTATGGCCTCATCCATTTTGTGAAAATCTACTTACAAACATTTGCTTGATAAAGATCGTTGTAAAAAATATCTCCAAAGTTTTAAAAAAAGGACATAGAAGAGCTAAAAACGGAAGTTTATTTATTAATAAAAGGAAGTAGTTTTATTTGGTGTAAAATATTGGACTGGAACTTATTCTTTCAATGCAACTTTTATTGGCCCATAATAAGCGGCTGATACAGTTTTGGAAGGGAAGATCAGCCGATGAGATCGGTCGACGACAGTTCGTGGGTTAAGCTAACTGTGGTAGAGGTGCATAAAGTATAAATAGAACAATTTTATAAGTATTATTAAAAAATTCTATAAAATAAGGACCTATATTCAGGAGTTAGATTAATAAATATTTGTATAATAACCCTTTCAGTCTCATTACTACTTTCAGGCCCTTACTCATCAGTCCCGTTACGCTAGCCGTAAACAACATTTTCAACGTTGCTTAGTGCAGGTAACTCTTCTAATTAAGAAGTTACACAGAGCCTATTTATAAATAGGAAGTGTCAAGTTCTTGTTTTCTTTGTTGTGTGCTTGATTTTACACTACTTTTGATTATTATTTTTATTTTAAAGTGCTTTGTTAACAATAGATCTAAGCTTAATGGTGTTTTCCCTTCTAGATCACTTCAAACTTCAGCTGTTAGAGTTGACAGTAATTATTTAATGCAGAAACAAGTTATGTTGATATTGAATTAGTTCAAAATTTTGATATCCCAGATGGGTCAGAAGATGAAGATGATGTTGATAGATCTGACTGGTCTAACCAACTGCGTTCAATTGGCAATGAAGAATTTTAGGTGTAAATGGTCCTAATGTAGTCTTATTTCAATTAAAATTTCATAATTTCTCTAGAATTACCAGTACTTTTTTTATGACTGGATGAAAGATTGATTTTCAATAAATTATTATAAATAATAATTAAGTCGGCAACTTATGGTCAATCTGGAGCTATCTGATTGGTACTGAAGACAATTTCTTAATGGGCGCTACTTGACAGAAAGGGTAAAAAAAAAAACCACACATTTAATTACAACTTCGGTTAAATTGCCAGATGATTTTCTACATTAATTAATTTTAAAAGACTTCAAATTAATTACATTTTAAAAAAATATTAATGAAGAGTAAGAAGTAAAAATTAAAAAACCCACCTGTTTGTGTACTTTAGTAAGCTGTTCCAAATTATTTTCCAAAAACGAAATTTTTTGTTTCTGAGCTACATTTCCGCCAGCTTCCTCATCTTCCTCCTCTTCTTTTTTGTTGGCAGCCTGAGGAATAAAGATTCATTAGTTCCCTAAAAAAGAATTGAAAATGCAAAGCTTTGCTACAACTGAAAATATCGGATGATTTTTTTTTCTAACACTTCTTTCCTCATGACTAAAAAATTGGCTGAAAATTCACTACATAGGATTCCATCACTTAATTAGCTGTTTTATTATTTTTTTCAATCGGGGATTAATTGATTTTGATGACTTATGTTAAAAAAATAAATATTTGTTAGTTTAATCTTTGTGACTATTTCGTTTTCATTAAAGTTATACCAATCACATCATATAAAAGTAAAAAGTTTTTAAGAGTTACATTCAATTTCTTTTAGACTAATATATTTTCATTTTATCAATATTTTTTCAAGATTAGTTAAAAACAAATCTACAAGCAAGTCTCTCCTCTCATGACTTTGGTTCATTGTCATAGGGGTCTCTTGTATTGGTGTCACCCAGTGCTATAAACTCATGGTAATACCGTACCCTCTCCTTTATTTGCTGTTTTCCCAGTGGTGTCATGTCCCCCCCCCCCGTCGTCACTGTTAATTGTTACCTTCTTAACTCTGTTTTGGAGATAATTGTTACCTTTTTAACTCTGTTTTGGAGATCCTGAACAAAGAGTTTTCTTAGATTGTGAAGGGTTTGTAGTTCCTTAGCAACAGTTTCCTCCAAACCTTTAAGGTCTTCCTTTGCCTGCTCCCGTTTTTCCATTTGGAGGGTAAGCTCTGAAAGACGACTTGCTTTCTCTGCCTCTTCTGACTTCAGAGATTCATAATCCTTTTGCATCTTGTCCAAAGCAAGAGTGAGTTTCTGATTGGTTCTTCAAAAATTAACAAAAAAAGTATTGAAATACTGATTCTTGCTAAAAATAAGAAATACTATGGGTTTAATTAAAAGTCAGAAATAGCACTGCCATTAAGACAAAAATTTGAATCTATAGAAGTTTATCATTAATTATTCAAATTTAAATAGAGTTAAAAATGTATGAAAAATAGTACTCTTTCAATTCATCAATGAGAGTCTGTTTATCTGAAATTTCCTCTCTGAGACTGGAGAGTTGTTTCTGGTGCTGCTCACGGTGACTCTGCATCTGTTTCTCTAAGGCTTCCTTCATCTCAATCTCAGATTGTAGTTTGTTGGACGCTTCTTGAACTTTCTGAGTGACTGTGGCATGCATTGTTTCTGAGAATTCAAATGTAATGTTTAATTATAATTTAATATATCATTTAAGGTTAAGATAGGGTTAGTTTAACAGAGACAAATGGAATAATAAGTTTAATGTGACATTGGTCTCAAATCACAAATCATGCATTGATAAATTTAAGAAGTTTAGATAGGTTTTATGACAAAGCTAACCACCCCCTCCCCCCAAAAAAAACCAGCTAACCGTTTGCTTTATATCTAGCAACTTCTTCACTGAGAGAATCAACATTTTCCTCCAACTGTCGTCTTTTATGTTCCACATCTTTTATGGTCTCACTCAACGTAGCCATCTTTGCTTCATACTATTTATGAATAAAAATTGTCAAGTAAAATTATTGCTCGATAAAGAAAAAGCCTACCACTTTAAAATATGTTTAAGGCGGATTTAAAAAAAATAAATGGTGGTAAAAGCTTGACTAAAAATCGTGATGGACTTATTTATTAATTATGAATACATAAATAATTTATTTGAACTATCATATTTTTTAAATAAATAGCGGAATAAAGTTATGTATCGGCTTGAAAAGAAAAGACATTTTAACTATGTTTCGGCCAAAGTATTGTCTTATCTTGTTCAACTACTTATTTAAGTTACATGGCTTGAACCATAGATTACCATTTTTTGTAAAAGATTTTAATATAAAATAATCCTTTATTGATCAGAATGGCTTAAGAAATTACCTGTTGAATTTTAAGTTGGCATTCTGACAATTCTGAACTCGCATCCTCCAGTTTTTTGTGACTTTCTACTTGTGCAGTTTCAAGATTTGAAGCTCTAGTGGCAAGAGTCTTAACCTCTGATTTCATTTTACTTATGTAGAGACGGGCCACTGTGAACTCTTCCTCAAGCTTCTCCCCAGCTCCACTGTTTGGCTAGGTAATAAAACCAGATAAATATTTACTGTAATAATCCCAACTAGTGATATTTTGCAAAATTTGTAGCCTCATATTTATTTAAGAACTTTATCTAGGTACATGAATCTTCATCAGGCATCAACTCTTGCAGCAGATCGCTAACAGCACCTCCCTGCAATCTCTCCCCGGTAGAAGCATACAAAAGATGATCTAGGCACTTAACTTATTTTTTATTTTCTATTGGTAATATGATAGAAGGCAAAGTGTTAGTGGTTCTTTAGAATCTGAAGTGTAAAGTAATTACTTTGTTCTCAGCAGCATTGCCACCAATGACAGCTCCAATATCACCCAGATCCTTGAGAAGGCTAGACATCATTTCAACAACTCTCTTCTTCTGATGAGTCGATGAGTCTCTCAAAGACTCAAGTTCTGCCTGCAAACTGCTGATTTTCCCCTTTAATACAAAAGAAAACATTTTGAGAGCAAATTTAAAAACTAAAAATATTTGAAATTAATATTTATTAGGATTATCTGTGAAAATACAAAGATAAATATTACAGATTACAGAGGCTGCCAATTGCCTGAGTTCATTCAGTTTAAATTAACTTCTAAAAGAAGTATTTGATACAAAAAAAGGGGTGATTACATTGTTCTTTGTGTGCTGAAAAACTGTTTTAGGATTTTGAAATGCAACTTTAATCTGATGTCAGTTTTTATAATACATTCCTGAGGTTAATTATCCAACTCTTCCTCACAAAGATCAGATAAAAAATGATTTGTACAAGTTTCATACCAGCACTTGACTCCTATGTATCCGCAACACAAGTAATGGATTACCAATAATCAGTACTGTGTAATTTACATACAATATTTAATATTTACAAGACTTATATTTAATCTGCACTTACACAAGCTTGTTAAGTGTTATCAAAAGGAAAATACACACCTGAAAGACCTCTACCTAAAAGACCCTAAATTAATATAGTATATTAATATAGTACCCACCCATTCTTTTACATTCCCTGAAATGAAGATAGTATTTTGAGTACCTAATTTATAATATTTGTTTATCTTAAAAAAATATTAAATAAATATAAAACTCAACAACCCATAATTGGTTTCAACACCAATAATCCAAACTCCACTAATCATTTAAGATACTTTTAAGGTTAATACATTTAACTAAAAGGGGTGAAACTTCCTTCAGGGATAGAGCTTTATTTTCTGCGCTACTCTAAAAAAAGATATATCAAAATAATATAAGTTACTTACAGTCTTTTGGCTGATCTCTTCATTTAGAGTTTCAATGTCCCTGTTTTTGTTCTCCACCTCTTGAGATTTTTGGTCATAGTTCATGGCCAGCTCTTCAAGGGCTTGAAGTACTTCTTTAACTTCTTCTTTAGCAGATTCATTATCAGCCTGAATGCGTGTCATCTCAGCTTGAGAGTTTTCATAGTCTCGTCTGCAGTTGGCAATCAGCTCTTCCTGCTCCAACATTTGCTCTCTTAGTTTTTCAATCAATTGACCTTGACTATTAATTTCATCATCCTGTAAGCATAACAAAAAGTTCCATTTGGTAATCCATAAGTGACATTAATGCAAATTCCAGAAAATGATGTAATTTTGAAAAGCTTTAGTTGATCTTCAATAGAATAAAAAGTTAATCATATGCATTTGGTAATATCCTAAGCTTCCATGTCATAATTGAAAATTTGTAAGAATTGTTAAGTTTTTCATGACCTTAGAACATAAAAATGATTTTCTTTCCAATATTCACACATTATATAAGGCAACTTTATTTACAAAACTATCAAAGCTGGTACTTATAAATAACTTTAAGTATTTGATACAAATAAACATTATTTCTCAAATATCAACATTTCAATGTAGTTGATAATTACTTTATCATCTAACTGTTGATAGAGTTTCATCTTCTCCTCCTCCAGCTGTGCCTTTTCTGCCTCTGGGATCGCACTGACACCTCCACTAACCAAACCAATGAAACTAGATTGCATAGCTGCTGTGTCGATGGCTGCCTGACCTGGGGGTACAGGTTCAGCTTCCATTGCAGCAGTTTTCACATCTACTTGCTCCTCAACAGGAACTGTTTTGCCTACCATATGAAAAACTCAATTTACATATTTATCAAAGGAATAGTAACTCAGTTTGAAAGATGCAAAAACTCTTGGATATAACAAGAAAGTTATTGTAAATAATAAAAATAATAAGAAGATTTTTTATAACCTTTTTTTCCATTTGTCTTGTTTGTTTAAAATCTATGCATTCAAAAAATTTATTACGAAATAATGAGAGACATTAGACAGACTGTACTGCTTATTTAAGAATAAGAAAAAAAAGCAACTTGATGCTACCATGAACTAATTACTGTAGAAATCATAAATAAATTCCCGAAACTAAATATAAATAGGATTTTAATGGAATCGTCAAGACTTATCTTAGCAAGTGATTATAAAAGCGGCCATTATATAAATGTAGTTATGTTTTTATACCATTCCTCCAGGACTGCAGCTCTGCCTCTAACTTTAATATAATCAACTTCATCTTGTTGTTTTTCTCCTTCTCTCGCTCATAGCGCCTTTTCCACTCTTCTGCTGTCAACTCTTCATTGACACTCACAACATTCTTGATCGTCTTGGCTCTGAGATAAATCATGTATATCTTTTATGCTTTAAAAAAAGATTAATTTTAATAACTGAAAAATGGTATTAATTAAAAATAACCGATTTAATCACCATACCATGGAAAAAAAAGAAGTACAGATTATCTTGACCCAGCTTAAAGAATGACTTAAATTCCATGTATAAATAAATGAACTGAAAGATAGTTGTGTTTTTAAAAATCTCAAAACCATTGAAGGGAATTCACATTTTTTTTCTTCACATACTCAATATCCCATATCCTGGATTATATCATTTTCATACTCATCTTGCACACCATGTTTTTTACCATTTTTTTTTTTTTTTTTTTTTTTTTTTTTTTTTTTTTACAAATTTACAACAGTGCACATAATATAACTAATGGATAATTAAGTGAGACTAAGGATGCTTCGAATGTTTGTTTTTTAAAATGAAATTTTGCTAACCAATTTGTAATATATATATATTTTAAAAAAAAAAGACCCAATTTTTTTATATCTAACTATGGAGCTTTACAACTCTACAGCACCCAACAGACAAAACAGTTTAATTATTTAACTACTAGCAGTAATAGGAAAAAAACATTTTTAAAAATTAAAAAACAACAACTGACCTTTGTCCAAACATAAGTGTTGATTTGGTTTCACCTTCATTATAAGATGCAGGAGAACAACATATGACCATCGTGGTACGAGCATTACCACCTAAACTTTCTTGTAAAATTCTTGTTAATTTACTGTCCCGATATGGAACATGAGATTTCTAGAACAAGAATAATAAACCAGACGAGAAATTTAAAATAAAATTTAATTTAAAAATAAGACTATTATTACTTTACTTTGTAATGTACTAAAATAAAACAAAATATTTTGTTTGAAAAGTGTTCAAAATCTTTAGAAGTTAGCACTGCCTTATTTATTGGGAATAACAGATTTAAATCCTTATTTAAACAAAATTATTTGATGAAACTTTATCTAGTTCTCCAGTTTTTTTCAAGACTTTACAAGCAGAAGCATTACTTACATTTCCATCAGCAAGAGCAGCAATGACATTACCCAGGGCAGATAATGATTTATTTATATTTTTTGCCTCATCAAGAACAGATCCTTCTGCACCTGTTTTACTGACCTAAATATGTGATGGAAAAAAAACAAAAAAAAACAACTATTTTTAATAAGGCATTATTGTTAAAAAATTAGACATTCCTCAACTTGCAAATGTCATTTTAAAAAAACCAACAAAAAACCCCATTAATACACACACAAAAATAACAATAAAAAGTGGTTTTAACTGCTTGAATAGTATTTTATAAATTAAACCCATACCTTTTCACTACCAGCCAAGTCGACCAGATACAATTTTCCATGCAATTTTTTTTCATTTTCTACGTTTTCTTGTTTTACATGAATGAGAAAGACACTGTGACTCCGAGAACTGTGTTCATTCATATCTAAAAATATGAATTAAATTAGAGAATAATTGAGGATATCCTAAGGGAATGGTTGATTGAATTATTGCTGTAGCTCTATAAATGTGTTAGTCCTGATTTTTGAAAAAACTATTTTTCAGATTCATTAAGATCTAGTTTGGGCTTTCCCACGTTCTGTAAAAATATTTTAAAATTGCATTAGTAGAAAGTACATTTTCTGTAACATGATTGAATTTAATGTTTCTATTCTAAAATTATTAGGTTTTTAGCATCTCCTTTAAAATTTGGAAAACCAGTCAAGTTTAGAGAGTTGCAGCAACACCAGAGTTTTTAAAATGTTTTTATAAACATAAGCTATTTCAAAACATATTAAACATTTTTTTTGTTTCAGGTAAATATTGTCTGCGGTTAGGTAAACTGTGTATGTACCCCTCAGCTTTAACTTACTTGTTACTGCAACATGTCTGTTGGATTTTCCCTCTTCAATTACATCCATAACCTCCTCAGGACTTGAAACAAATCGTTCAGTGCACACCTAAAAATAGTTTTTTAAAAATCTATTCTTAAAAAAATATTAATAAATGGAGGTACTTCAGCCATGACTCGGCCATCTATTCTCTCTCTCCCCCCCCCCCCATTGCTTACTTAATATAATTATGGATAGTTCGCAACCAATCTTATTTCTGTCGATTAGCAGCAGGATTTAGATAGGAGCTAAAACAAATTGAAAATGATTTTTGTTTAAAATCTTAAAAACTAACGAAATATATTTTTTCAACCATTGACTGGTGAGCCGTCTGACCTTAGGTTTCTGCCAGTAGATTCACTTTTTTCAACCAAGTCTAATAAAATCATAGTTCTGACAAGTCTCTGCCCACAAATGTTTATGACATCTCAAAATCGTACATTGTAGACAAAATAGTAAAAGTAACCAAATCTGAAGTATTTCACCTACCTTTACATAAGGGACCCTGTTTTTGTCTTCATGTACAGACAGGTTTGTCTTCGTTACTGAAACAGCACAAAAATTACTTTAACAATTTTTTTTCTCTTGGCTACGCCCCTAAAAAAGTACAGCCCATGTTATCCAACTGGAATAAATTTGCATATTTAAAAAATTTATTTGAACTACCATTGTACAACTGTTTTGTACAACAGTCATTTTATTTAACAGGAATAATCATTACAGTCAGCATCAAATAATATTATGAAAAACTGCTCTAAAACCATCTGAGGATAAATAAAAGTATATAACTAATTCATAATATTAATAACAATACCATCAAGTAAATCCCTGATCTTGTCCATGTAGATTTCAAAGTATGAAACCTATTAATGAGAAATTAGTTGTCAACAATAAACACCAAAAATAATATTTGACACATTGTGAATGAAAATATTTAGACTAAGCATGTTGAGTTACATTATTAATAACATTTATATAAACATGACTGGCAATATTTGTTAATAAAGAAAGAGACCTATATGTATAAGCATTATTCATATAAAACAGGCACTATTTGTTAATAAAGAAAGAGACCTATATGTATAAGCATTATTGATATATAACAACTCAAAAATATCAGATGATCCAATTACATATCTTAAACTTATTATAAAGAGAAACGAGAAATCATAGAAAAGTAATTAATTATGATATTTTAACATTTTAATTTAGTTATTCTATCAAAGTTTTAATTATACCGGGCACATACTTTGATATGAAACTCGAGGTTTTCATCCATTCCATAGATGTAATTAAAAATGTCTTGTACAATCCTAGGAATAATACCTTGAAGTGCCTCACTGCCCATGACACCCTGAGTAAAAATGTAAACATAGTATTATATAAATAATTAAAATGTATTGCAATTAGGTCATTAAAGGTCATTAATTAGGTCATTTTTAGGTTTAGGACTAATTTTTCGAGAGAGGTTTTCAGGGTGCTCTTCCGTTGGTAATGATAAATAAAGTTATGTTGTATTTAATATAAAAAATATTAAGGTTTAATGAGTAATAAAACATGAAATTATTCTGACCTCCATTGTGTGTGTTTTACCACTTGATGTTTGCCCGTAAGCAAAAATGGTCCCATTGTAGCCACTGAGGACATCTGAAAATAGTATTTATTTAAAAAAGAACATTTAATTTAATGTGGGCTTTAACTAATCTACACAAAAAAAAACAACAAAACAAGCTAAGTGAAAATCTGTTTTCTATATTGAATTATAATGACAGATTACAAATCAAAATTACAGGAAAAAAATCAAATTCCCAAATGTTGAAAAAAAAAAAAAATTATTTAAATAATTATGTTTTTATTAAAATAAGGTCAAAATGAAAAGTATGGAATTCAGAATTTCAATACATTTGTTTCCATCATAATTAATCATATCAGGCAATGCAAACACATTGTAGCAAGTATACTGCCCCAAGTGTGCTAAGCACCATAACAAACAGAGAATTATAATTTATCAGCTATCATAACTTAAAATACCCTTAATATCTATTACAGCAATATAAAAAGAGAACCACCACCTAAGGCAGGATCTACAGTAAGCAGATTTATTGTGCCTTGACAAAATGAGGCTTATAGTTGTTCCTTTAAAGTAATAATACATTTTTATTTTGTAAGTGCATCCATGGTGTCACATAAGCCCGAGACTAAACCCACCCCTGGTGTCATAAAAGCCTCACCCATACCTGGTATCACAAAAGCCCTAGACTAAACTCACACCTGGTGTCACAAAAGCCCTAGACTAAACCTACCCCTGGTGTCATAAAAGCCTTAGACTACACCCATACCTGGTATCACAAAAGCCCTAGACTAAACCAACCCCTGGTGTCATAACAGCCCTAGACTAACCCCACCCCTGGTGCCATAAAAGCCTTAGACTACACCCATACCTGGTATCACAAAAGCCCTAGACTAAACTCACACCTGGTGTTACAAAAGCCCTAGACTAAACCTACCCCTGGTGTCATAAAAGCCTTAGACTAAACCTACCCTTGGTGTCACAAAAGCCCTAGACTAAACCTACCCCTGGTGTCATAAAGGCCTTAGGCTAAACCAAACCCCGTGTCATAAAGACCCAAGACTAAAGCCACAACTGGTGTCATAAAAGCCCTAGACTAACCCCACCCCTGTTGTCATGTACACCCTAGACTAACCCCACCCCTGGTGTCATAAAAGCCCTAGACTAACCCCACCCCTCGTGTCATAAGCCCTAGATTAACCCCACCACTGGTGTCATAAAAGCCCTAGACTAACCCCACCCATGGTGTCATATACACCCTAGACTAACCCCACCCCTGGTGTCATATACGCTCTAGGCTAACCCCACCCCTGGTGTCATAACAGCCCTAGACTAACCCCACCCCTGCTGTCATAAACGCCCTAGACTAACCCCACCCCTGATGTCATAAAAACCCTAATGTCATATACACCCTAGACTAACCCCACCCCTGGTGTCATATACGCCCTAGGCTAACCCCACCCCTGGTGTCATAACAGCCCTAGACTAACCCCACCCCTGGTGTCATAAAAGCCCTAGACTAACCCCACCCCTGGTGTCATAAAAACCCTAGACTAAACCAACCCCTGGTGTCATAAAAGCCCTAGACTAAACCAACCCCTTGTGTCATAAAAGCCCTAGACTAAACCAACCCCTGGTTTCATAAAAGCCCTAGACTAACCCCACCCCTGGTGTCATAACAGCCCTAGACTAAACCCACACCTGGTGTCATAAAAGCCCTAGACTAAACCCACCCCTGGCATCATAACAGCCCTAGACGAAACCCACCCTCGGCATCATAACAGCCCTAGATGAAACCCACCCCTGGCACCATAACAGCCTTAGACTAAACCCACCCCTGGCATCATAACAGCCTTAGACTAAACCCACCCCTGGCATCATAACAGCCTTAGACTAAACCCACCCCTGGCATCATAACAGCCTTAGACTAAACCCACCCCTGGCATCATAATAGCCCTAGACGAAACCCACCCCTGGCGTCATAAACGCCTTAGACTAAACCTACCCCTGGGATCCTAAAGCCCCCAGACAGATTTTTAGTCACTCACTAGTTATTTTTCTTGCCTATACTTCATGGTATCCAACCCAAAATTTTCTTTACACTAGAAGCTAATTATTAATTTTTTAAAGTAAAACCCTGAATGAAGTGGCTCTGTCTGACTGATACTTTTTTAATAGCAAGTTAAAAAAAACCAAAACATGATACACATGAAAGCATAGCCTGCACTGCAAACATAAAACATCCTTCACCTTGACGAATATTGATTTGCAAGGTATTGATCAATATAGCTGAAATGACACACCTTGGTGCAGTGGAATGTTCTCAGTAGATCTAATTATAGATTAATAAGTTGCTGCTAGAAAGATAGCTTTCTGCAAATTAGGATAGTAGTTGTAGTGATTACTTATTGCAAGGGGCAAGGGTGTTAAGATAATTATTAAAGGACTTAAAAGACTTTTAAATAAGCCCTTCACATGGTCTAGACTCACCCAAAGAGCAGCCATGACTCAGCCATCTAGGCTCCCTTTATTCCCCCTCCAGCTGTTACTGCCCACAAATACTGATTTGTATTAGAAACTGTTTGGCAACTTAACACAAAGACTACACTGGGTCATTGGAAGATCTTGGATCAATCGACAGCTTCAAACTTACAGTCATCCATTATTATTCCCTTATTTTCTTTCTCTTGTTATTAAAATGATTAAGGTACTAAAGAAAGTAGTAAACCAAACATGCTGAAATATTTTAACATCTTTCACTTCTATTCATATAACAACATTTCAGCAAATGAATAAAAATATAGAAAAGCAGATTTTTTATTCACCTGCAATTATTTTTTTTTTAATTTCAAAAGAGAGGACCACATTTTAATGATAACTTATCAAATAGTTAAGAATTAAGGGGCCATCCATAAATGACCCCTTGGGGGTGAGGGAGGGAGAGAGAGAGAGAGAGAGAGAGAGAGAGAGACAGAGAGTGAGGGAGAGAGTGAGAGAGAATAAACCACATATATTGAGGTGTCAACCTTTGTGATAATTTTTTGGAGAGTTTTTCTTTTAAATCAGCCAAAAGAGTGTGTCATCTATGGATAGCCCTTTGGCAAATTTGTGTGTGTGCTTGTAAACAAAAAGGGAATTTTTAAGAGTTATAACTAAAAATAAAACGTTGAAAGCAGGGATTTTTATCCAAGTTTCCCTCCAAAGTCTGCTCCAAACTCCAGCAAAATTAAAAAGGTAGGAGAGGTGGTTGAGAGGGTTGCTAAGTATTCAAATAAATATATTTTGTCACCAGAACCAGGACTTAGGGGCCACCCATAAATGACATCGCTCAACATTTATGAATAGCCCCCTTAAAAACTGGCTTACAAATAAAGTTAAGGACCCATGCTGTCAACTTAGAACTATATGCCTAATATAACCCCAACAGTTTTGTACATCTCAGAAGTAGATAAAGAAAACATAAATAGATATATAAATAGATATAGAACTATATCTCACATTCACACGATGTGTCTGTATTGTACTTCAATGAACGAGAAGCTAAAATTATTGACTATAAATGTATCATTCTCTAAATAACAATGTTGCCACTAACCCTAAGGTTCAATAGCGCGCAACAATTTAAATATAGCGTTATAAATATGCGGTATAAAAGGGGGTGGGACATTAGAAGATTCATATAGTTCAGGGGCGTGGAAAAAAGTGTGCGCTTGCAAATCTGGGGGTGGGGCGCACTAATCGGGAAAGTGCGTTACTAGATAACCTTTGTTTTGTCAAGTAACTTTAATCGATGGGAGGTTCGCGCATAGCGCTAATATTTGGCGGGCTATGGCCAGCTTATAAGATCTCAAGAGTTATTATAATCATCCATGAGTTGAAATGAATACTCAAACACTACCATTCTTGCCGTAAAAAAAAACAGAAGCAACTTAAAAACAAACTACCCACGTTCTCAAAATAATTACACACTCTGAGCCCTTCTCGCCTCCCAGCCCAGCACGCCCCGCTACGTTCGCATTTCATGACGTCAGCAAGAACACACCCCACGTATTCATTCCTTAGTTTAGTATAGCACAGTCAATGCTATTGTTTAAGACCGTAAAGTCCTCAAACTGAGGCCACCTTGTTCATTTGAAGAGATAACTTATCAGAAATAACTTCTCCATGAAGGTAACCCTAAAAGCAATGAACCGCATAAAATGACAGATGCGGCTCTTTAACGACCTGAGTGCGGCTCGGCTAGTCGGCCACAAATCGGTTTTGACTACGAACAACATGATTCTTGACATTTTCATGAAAGGAAACTTGGCTCTCAATTTTTTTGTAATCGTCCTACTGTGAATTTTTGGCTCTTTTGACTAACTATTTTGCCGACCACTGAGCTAGCATTAGCATAATCTTGAGCTCTCACAATATAGCAAGGGTCCTGCCCGACAGGCTGCGGTGATGCTAGTTATGTTAGGTACAGTACTGCAGCAAACGTGCGCTTTTCAATTCTGAAACGGGATTTAAAAAAAAAAAAGAAAGACCCCGGGGAGTTTGCAGTCGTAGCAGAAATGTCAACATCTTTAAATATTTAATATCTGCAATGACACAAACCGGGAAGCTCGCGGTAGTCGGGCAGGTTTCAGTTTTGAGAGGGTTGTCAACACGTTGGACTTCTAGGATTAACCCCCACTCCCCTTCCCGCCCCCCTTAACGTTGACGCATACCAAGTTTTGGACTCTAGTAGCGCAACTTTTCAAATAATCGGTTTTATATTATGATGTGACGGCAGCTTAGAGGCATATGAATAAAAGTAGAGGCATTTAACAACAACAACAAAAAAGGTGCGTTATATGACGGGGAGATATCTTTAAGAACTGGGGTATACGAAAGCACATGTGAAGTCACCCAAGAAGTGTCAATCACAGATTGCATAAATTAAAAGTGGGCGATGCAGTTATTTTGGTCCCCACACTCCGATGGGACTAAAGAAAAAAAATGCATATTTTTAGGGGGCTGGGTGGGTGTAGACAGGCCCCCGTGTTTAGGCCGAGGCAAGCGAGTAAATCACTCTCCCAATGACGGACATTGATATGTTTGATGCCATTACTTTGAAATTTGTGGGGGCCTAAAATTGGAAACTTCCCGTGACCCAAAAGTCACCTGCACGGCCTGGATGTATATTATTATTATACCCAATGCTGACATGACAGAATCAGGCAGAGTTATTTGGATTTATTAATTCCTATATTTAGATCCATATTTACAACTTGGAGTAACATGACAAAATTGCTTGCATGCCATGAAACAACTGCGTCGCTGGCGTATTTGTCTGCCCCCATTTTTACTGTAACCGTGCGCATTGTTAACAAGCGGGGCGTAAATTAAACATAGAGTCACCGGGTAAGAGATACGACCTAAATATGAAATGCTTTGGAATTCTTGGCCTAAACACGACAGCATGAACAGGTATTTGCAACGTAAATGCTTACAAGCTAACACAACCTCGGTTGCTAGTAATGTCCAAATGAGTGGTTTTCTGTTAAGTTTAATAAATAAGTTCATGACAGATGAACTATTAACTTTTACAATGAAGGAAAATGACACGAATCCGGCAACATATGAACTATGATCGATTGTCTCATTGTGTTCAAACATACAGTGACCCGTTTAAACACTTGCATTAATTAGATCATTACTTTGGGTGATAGAAAACTAACGTACATTATCCCACAAGGTTTCGGGGAACTTATCTGGGCAGATATGGAAAGAAAAACATCCTTAGTTGCTATCAGCCTGTAAATGCCATTCAAATGGCACAATGGAACCCCGTGGCCACTTGAAAAGTGAAGGACTAGAGAGAGAGAGTATCTAGTAATTATTTATAATTTCAATTTAGTGAGATGTTTGTACTTGATGCAAAGAGATTTTATGTTAGCTTCCATTTTAGTTAGCTTCAGTCTCAAGTCTCCAGCTGATTTTTTGTGTTTTTGTTTTTTGCAACAAATCATTTATAGCACTAAATCCACATTCAGCTAAACATGAAGATGGAAACAGTAACAACAGTTATCTTGCCCATTTAGTTGAATTTGAATATTTGATTTGTTTCCTCTCAAAGCCATGCCAATGCTCTTTTTATATTAAATAAAGTTTTAAATGACTCATCATTTTGCATTTCTGCGAGTTCTTCGTAAAAATGGATATTTGAAATATCAGACAAATCCACTAACATTGGCTGCATCATCTAAGTTGGAAAATCAATTTGTTTCAATACAAAAAATATTTCTTTTAAATTAGCTGATAGTACTGATAGAATTTTCAGACGATTGACAATAACAAGTATAGAGGTATCAGTCACTTCAAATTTTTGGAGCCAATGAAACTTTTCAAAATTTTTGTTGTAAATATTTTCCCGACATAATTTAATAAAGGTATTGAAATCAAATTTCTTCGCTTTTGCATCGACAAGAATTTTATTTGTTATTTTAATTATTTTATTTCATATATTTATTTTTTTCAAAGATATCTGCAAAATAATTCAAAATGCTTTACCATCGACCGTTAACAGATAATTGATATCAGGTTTGTCACTTTAAAGAATCGCAAGAGTATCAAATATTTCCATAAATCTTTTCAAGCAATTCCCCTTCGAAAGCCATCTTACTTCAGTGTGAGGTAAAAGTGTCACATAGTCTGCATTTGCTCTTCACAAAATAGCTTGAATAGACACTCACATTTTGCATTAGCATTGATGAACTTTATAACTGAATTTAGTACTTCATTTAGAACAGGCGAAATGTTTTTAGCTCCTAATTTTTCCTTATGAATAGCACAATGCACAAGTAGCATTTATGGATACTCATCTTTCCTCAATTTTAAGCAGCCATTTTCTTGCCCATCATATTAGGAGCACCATCTGCACCACAAGATGTCATACCAGGTATTTTTCATTGGTATGTTATTGACATCTAAGTAATTTTTTAGCTTATTATTATATAATATATATATATATAAATAAATAATTGGCGGTAGTGGTGCTTTCTAATGGTTTACAGAACAACTGTTCTGCAGCAAAATACCATTTATCAATATAAGTTCTCTCCTATATTATGATTTTTCTCAGATCTAGCGATAAGTATAGAAATTTAAAAACTAGCCTCATGAGTACGATTAACAGTAGCAGTATGAGCAGTAAATAGAGACTTTTATGTTGCTATTTTTTCAAAATACATGTAAAATCATAGTAGACGGTTTTCAAAGTCCAGACAGCTCATTTTCCACACACCCCACCCCCCAATAACAACCAAATGTCCCCCCTGTGGGACCAGGGGCGTGAGCCCCACGTTACCGAACTAGAGCAAATATATGGGTTAACGAATCAAAGCACTGATGCGTGGGCAGAAGGTGGGTGTGGGTTAGATTCCAGGGCAAAGGATTGGAGGGTGTATGGGAGCAATCCTCAGTGTCAATAAAGCCAAGCAGATGGATTATATTACAAAGTATAAAAGCTGTCATAAGAAGGTGGCAGTTTAGTCAGTTATTTCTAATCTACCAATAACATTTCATTTAAAGATTCTTTTCTAAACACAAGATCAGAGGAGGGCAACCTACGGCCAGCGGGCACTAGGTTGCCCGCTAAAACGTTAATTAAATTCAGCCCGCAAGACTTTCAGCGCAGGGTTGTGGAGTGGAGGTGTTTTTTTTTTTGCTGGAGCCTGTAATAATTTTTACCGCTGAGAGCTCGAAACATTAAATACATTTAAAAAATTGTAAACTACACATTTTAAATATTTAAGTCTAAGAAATTTATGCGCCTAAAATATTACACATTTGTAAAGAAAAACCATTAAGTGCAAACAACAGCCACAGATACCACCCCCCCCCATATTATATATATTATATATATATATATATTAAATCCTGAAGGAAGTATTGAATTGTAGTATTCGACCTGCCTCTTTTCTAAGCATGACACCCCTTCCCCATTGTCTACCAAGATTTGACATTAAAGTTCTTTGTGTCATTCTTATTGTATCCTATTAATTGTTGTTTCTGTAGGGAAATTTTGAAGCCAACATCTTTTCAATTTTAGTTTAATTTGACCTTATTTTGCATTGTAACCGTTGAGTGTTGCATTTAGGTTATTAGTGAAACTCCAAGCTAAATGTTCTTTCAAGAAACGAAGAAGCTTGATTCATCTTTGATAAACAACAGTAATGAAATTACAGATGAAATTGCCAAATCTATGATCAACCTGGACAACACTATTTTTTTTTTATAAAACTCTATGCCTGGGAGGTGTTTATTGTAATCCGTGATTGTGAATTCTTCTTAGTTCAGTCAACTTTTATTAGCAGATATTTTTAAAAAACAACAACATTTTTCAAAGAAATTAGCCAAAAATGATTTTTAATCAATGAGGATGATTCCTGGTTATCAAATTCTGGCCCTATATTATATTTAGAAGCATCTTCAATTTTAAGAGTTGATGATATCGCCATCAGTCCAAGGCTTTTTGTTTTCTTCTTTCTCCACATCACTGTCAGCTAAAGACTCTCTTTAAAAAAAAAAAACTATGTCTACCAGGGTAGGATGTTGGAGCCGGGCTCTCCTGCAAGGCTATGTTGCTTGTACACGAATTAAGACTATCATAGTTAATAGCATGAGACAGTGGCCAGGATTTGCAAATTTATTTAAATTTGATCTGCGCACTCAGCATCCCTTTGTATAGTAATACAAATCTTTATCTTATCATGCACAATTTTAAGTCACATCAGTTTAAATGCACAAACAAAAAACAACCTTACCAGTCTTTTGTGGATAATCTAATCTTAATAAAAAAATTGTACTTCTTCTTGTTGTCGATGTCACTCTATAAAGACTGAAAACTCTATTTAAATTTACTTCTAGAAGGCATTTTTGGATAGGCTCATTAGCATAATCAGTGAAAAATAAGCTGGTTACAGAAAATCAGCAGATTAATCTGTGCTTTCTCTAATATTTGATAAAATTATATTTAAATTTAAAAAAAAAAAAAATACTTGGAGCAATGCTAAAAATACTTTGTGGGCAGCAGAGCTCTGCCAGAAAAAATTCTGCTCCACAACCCTGCTTCCCGAAACTGGATAATTTTTTAATAAGATGTAAAAATTGATCATGATTATCTGTAAAAACTATCTCACTATCTTTATTTTAAATTTATTAAAAATGTGTTCAGATTCATTAAAATTATTAAGTGGCCCAGACAAAATAAATATTTCCAATTTTCTTAAGTTTGTTATGTCAATTTTGTATAAATATTAAAACGGAAACTATCTTATAAAGAAATGACCTATTAAAAAAAAATTGATGGCTAATCAACAGAGAATAAATTTGTATTAAGTCAGGTATCTGGATGAGGATGGTTAACACTACCTTAAGGAACCTCAGACAAATAAAAAAAAACAATAACAAGGAAACACATCTAAAGAATGATAAGACTTTCAATAGTAAAAATATTTAGAAAAAGAATCAACAAGCTCATAATATACTACACAAAGCAGTACAATGACTCTTGGAATTATCTTATTATCTTTTTTTAAAGAACAGTTTTCAAGTGGATTTTCATCTTTGTCATGCTAAAGTAGAATAACTTTTCAGAAATCCTTAAAATGTATCAAACTTTATTAAGTTAGAAAAAAAGTTAAGTTTATCCGAGCATAAGACAGAACAACAAAACTTTAAAAGACTTAATTTCAGCTTACCAACCCAAATATATATTTTGACTAAGTTTCCTGAACAATTTAAATCTCAATTTAATCACAGTCAAAGTGCGTCTAGTTTTAGCATAAAATAGTATTTATTTCTTCAGTCATTAAAAGAATTACTTTTAAGATTTAATATTATTTAATCATTCAAAGATGTTTGTTTAACTTTACATTCAAACCAGTGAATATCAAGTAATGTGTTTTACTGGATATATCACTCCACTATTTCCTTGAATCAGGTTATAATAAATTTTAAGCTTACTATTTTAAAAATAAAAGGAGTAAAACAGAGTAGGGTTAAACCTGAAAAAATAAACGCAACAAAACAGCGAACGTGTCGGCAGAAAGCCTTCGTCAGCGAACAAAACAACAGAAAAAACGGAATAAAAATAAGAAATAGCTGGTAAGTAGTATCTGTGGGCAGCAATAGAAGTTCAATAGCACTTCAAACAAATTAGTCCATTAATGTTTGCAATATTTACTTACCCGCAACAATAGGTTTTGCAGTAACATTGTAAACATATTCCTGTGTGACGTTTGGTTTAAGCACCTTATCATAAACAAATAGTTTGCCCTGAAATATGATGGAAATAAAACGCGGTAACAAGCTAATTATTTTGTTATAGGTACAAAAAAGTTTTTAAAAATTTAAAATTTTGGAATTGGGCTCTTTTTTTCATGAGCAATAATAAAAGTTCAACTGTCTAATTGTCTCAAAAAAAGATTCATTTTAAACAGTAGTTAAAAATAAAAAGTCAATTAGTTTAGTTAATGAGAAGGTGACTTTTTTCTTCTTTCAAATACAAAAAACAGCAGAATTTAATTATGGAGAGCTTTTTTTCCATACCAAGTTCTCATTTCCCCCAATTTTTAATAAATTTAAATATTACATCCAAAACGTGGCCACAACTTTATCATTTTCCCTGTCACACAACAGAAGAATGAGTTGAATAGTCAGATTTCGTTAAAAATTTTCAGATCCCCTCAACACTGTTAATGTTAATGCCACGTTTTTGGATTTAGTAAGAGCATATCTTACACCAAGTAATAACAAGCTTTTATTAAAATATCTACAATAGCGAAAGATTTAATTAAATATACACTCACCCCAACACTTATTGAGTCATCTGTTGGAAATTTAAGAACAAATTTGCTCCCTGCTCTTTCTTCTGATTCATTAAGAGGTCGCACACGACATATAACCTTAATGTTGCATTCACTGGCATCAATCATGGCTGCGGCTGCTTGAAGTTCCTTAATTTTGACTGGTAAGTGTTCCTCTGTTATTATATAAACCACGACTCACAAGCAGGCAATTTTTTAAAAGTTTTTGGTAAAAGAATACACAGCAACCCTTAACAACAAATTTCTTTTTTTTCCCTAAAAAAAAATACGAGTGATGTCGACAATGTCGTTTAACACTGAACTCTGAATGAATAATTGTGATATTCAAAAAGTAATATTAGAGATAATATAGATATGCAAGACGCGTAAAAGTAAAAACTATAGATAGCAGACAATTAGCATGAAAATGTGACATAACACATACATAGGTGGTGCCACACAATTATCATCAATAAAAGATAAGCCACTGTTGAACCTCAAAATACAAGTATCTCGAATGAGTTTTCTTTCAGCTTCCGCAGCAGCAAAGTCTAAATTCTTGGTTAAAGTTCTCTAAATATTATTCCTTTAAATTTTTAAATCTTTGTTGGTAACGTTTCTTGAGGAATAAGAGTTAATGTAAAAAGTTTAATGTAGGTCTGTTCTAAGCTATATACAATAATTAGAACAGCTCCCTTGCTTATAACTTGCAGTTTTATTGTATTTTATGATTTTAAAAAATGCATAGTGCATCATTAAAGATTATTTTGATTTTTTTTAAAATGGGGTCCAAAAAAAAAAAAAAAAAAAAAAAAAAATGTTTTTACANTGGGGGGGGGGGGGGAATTGAGCAAAATTATTTTTCTGATCGAATTCAAAACAAACTTTGGTGGACTAAATTCTTGATCTTTACATAATTGAATATTTGAATAAAATAAACACCAGAATGCAAGGGAAAGAAGAAGAAAAGAGCGCTATATCAAATTTGTGATATGAGATTGGGAGACAAGATAGTGATTTGGAAATGGAAGGTGAACGAAGAAAACTTGGGGTAGCTTGTTAAGTGTTCTCAAACAAGAGAAATTTCATCCTTACTTCCCAAATGATTTGATCAAAGACTAAGATTGTATCAGGAATCCATTTCTTTCATGTGACTAATGTACTTTTCACATAATAAAAAAGAATAATAAGTTAAAATAAATGATTGAGTGGAGTGTAGGATAAAGATGGGGAAACGGTCATGGACGCTTAGCATTTTCGACCATCTGCAGTTTTTTTCGTTCAAGTGGGGTAGAATAATTTTGGTCCGCCACGGGTAGTGCTAACCATGGCTTTGCCAATGATGATTAGAATCTGTAACAATGATATATGAAGAGGTCAATTTAGCTTCTGGAGGTGCATTACAAAATTCTTCCAAAATGTTTGTACATGAAAGATTTTTATGAGATATGTTTTATCCAGAAACATTGTGTAAAAACTTTATTTTAGCGTATGTATGTCTTTAAATTGTTCATTTTAACCCCAAGTGTACTGGTAAAACTGATTTACTGTGTCGCTAAATGATGCCTGTGTCGCTAAATGATGTATGTCTAAAAATTGTGTTTCTAAACGTTTGGAAAGCCATGGTCTATTACAATATATCACAAATCTAAAGCTTAGGGGAAAAATCATAAGTTTAGTAGTGGAATGAAAAAAATTTATTGAAAAGAAAACCTAATATTCAAAATTCAGTGTATAGGCAAAGGGCTTTGTCTTGATGCTACAAGTTGTGACAAATTATTGTACTAAGTTATGCTTATACTGTAAAACTGTACCAGTACCAGTTAAAAAAAGATGCAAGTAGTATTAATATGAAGTGGCAAGCAAGATGTGACAAAAAGGCATTTATAACTCTGCTAGTGACTTGACCTTTATCACAATCAAGCTGTTAGTTTTTGAATATAACAGCAACCTAATTAATGTTTATAATGGAGCTCTGAAGCTGTAGGTTGCCAACCACTAGCCTAGTTAGGCCTATATACTATATCAGGGGTGGGCAAACTACGGCCCGCGCGCCGCATGCGGACGGCCGGCAACTGATATTTTGCAGCCCTCGAAGGCATTTAGAAATAAAAAAAATTACTTTGTTTTTACTTTATTTTGTTGAATTTTTACAGAATTTCATGTTCATGTACCATTATAATTATTTTAATTTTAACATTTTTGACTTTTGATTGTATTTTTAATTGTCTTGTTTTCTGATGCAGGATTTAAACCAAAACATCAAAATCTAGACCATTGTCCTGTCTATGAATTCAAGTTTAGCACACCTTGTTCTTATATTTCATTTATACAACTTGAATACAGCCTATCATTGATCATTGAGCCATCAATTAATATCTTTTACTTAAGAAACTTTAGAGTTTTCGTCTTAGTTTAGTCAATTCAATTGAATAACTCAGCACCAATGCCAATGGTAGATAGAATAACTTCTATTTTTTGTTTACTAGGACTAAGTGTATGATTGATTGATGCTAGTTTTTGTAAATTTCCAAGTATAAATTGAAAAGTGGCTGTTTTGTTGGCTTATGACTTAACTTACTTTAAGTTTATGACTAACCAAGCCAAGTACCGTCGCCGTCGTTGGCCTGCCTACTGTTTGGAATTCGACCTCAAATTAACGACAAATCTGTTAGTTATGACAATTTCAATACCTCCCAAAAAAGCATTGGTTACTGAGACATCGAACATAGCTTATTGACAAATAAATTAAGCACAATGGTTACGATGACAAACCGTGTTAAGAAATAATTGTAATATCAGAATTACGGTGTAGACAGTTATCGATTGCCGTGAGCAGCCATTGCTACAACGGACTTCTGGGTAAAAATGACGTCACCTCATTACCCATTGAGCCCACTGAAAATCCCATAATTCTCAAACATAAAATAAATCAGAGATAGTCGAAAAACCTGTTTAAATTTTTTCTCTGTACAATTTTGTTAACTATATAGACTAGTGATGCTTTGCCTTATATTGCATATAAATAACATTGGCAAATAGAAATCCCACGTGTATTATGGGCATTCATCAATGTTTGTATATGATATATGGCATCCTTCCGTCTTCGTGAGACGATGGAGTAGCTATATAGTCTATAGTTCTTACACTTTGACGAGTGGCTCACTAGGCCAATCCTAGAATGGCAAACACGGCCGCATCTTTCGCAGGAGAATATTGAATCCCGGTAAATTCTTGATTTCCAAATTGTACTTTTTGATTCAAAGGCCTCGTTTCGAGTATTTTCTGCCTTTTTTACTCCTTCAAACACTGCTGTTCGCCAGTTGGAGCGATGTTCGGCAATGAACTCCCATTCGTTTGTTTCAATGTTTGTATAATAATAATAATAGTCTAATTTAGTGAGTTTTGTGATTGTGTCATCGGCATATTTGAATTTGAGACTCGCAGAGTCGTAGTGCATGTCATGCCGACCAGTGGTGCGTGCTCCACAAAATTCTCCACAGTTGCAATCTTGATTAAACGTCGCCCTGGGCAAACTCTCAATAGTGTGTCCCCTAGTACACACTATATAAATAATGTGAAACATACACTATATACTTTGATAAAGAATAAAGGGCCATCCAAAAATGACATCTTCTTGGAAAAAAAAAGGGGGAGGGATACATGTGCGCCCGCAGAAAACTTTCTAGGGGGGGGGGGGGGGGAAAAAATAGTTAAATTTTCCGGGGGGGGTTTTTTTTGGTTTTATTTTTTTATTTT